ATCAGAGGGATGTTGAGAAGTTTTAAAAAATTAGTCTAGCCTTTTTATTTTATGAATTATGATACATTCCTAAAATGTATCCCACAGGCAGTTTGAGTTGGAAAACGTTGCCGGTTCTTTGGATGTTTTTTGAACAGAGAGCAAGAACAGCCTGTTTGTTTTCTCCTCTCACCTGCTCCACGTCCCCCCCCCTCGCTGCACACAGTTCAGTTCAGACCAGCCTCTGCTCACAAATCCACTCGTCCTTCAGCGGTGCCGCGATGCCGATCGTCATTATGCTGCTCTGTTTGGGGGTGTGTGTGTGTGTGTGTGTGTGTGGGCTGAATGCTCGCCGGTACCTACAACTAACTAATTGCTGGGACGGTAAACCATCTTGAACACATGCTTACTTTTTATCACACAAACGCCTTCACAAAGAGGACAAAAGGGGCCAGGTCACCACAGGGAACATTACAGTGGCAGATGAGCGGCCCCCTTTTAGTCATGTGTAACTCAACACCCCTCTCCTCTTCCTCTTTTCCCTTCCTCTTCCTCCTCTCATTTACGTGGCATGTCCTCCCAAACGGACTACTTAAATTAATGATCAGCACGCTCACTTGCTCTGCACCAATAGGTCGTTGTTGTATCAACATCGGTGCATGTGATGACGGACAAACACTGCTTGCTCTTATGGAAAATGATCTTGGAGCCTCTCCACATCCCCGCTCATGCCAAAGCATCAATTTAGGTCAAGGAAGTAGCCACAGCGGGTGTTTACGTGTGCGACTGTAAGCCTTATCAGTTATGCTCATGGCGTCTGATGACATGTGAGTCATAGTAGCTGGCCAAGGCTCATGGAAAATTCACAGTGTGAATAAGGGCTTAAGTGGGCTCTGAGCTAATCGTGATTGTACTGCAACCAGGAAGAATAGCTAGCAAACAATAAGTGTAAAAATGGCACAGATTGTGCAATGACACACTGTCAGCAAGCTCTTTTTGAGACATTTTCTGTTTACAGAGAAAAAGAAACTATGTGCATATTCATATATACACATTAATACATTAATAAATGTTTAGGTATATACTTAAAAGTGCACATATTTTCATGATAAATGTGTGTAATGTGCGATTTTAGCGGCGTCAGTCATGGTTAACACGTACAGAGGATTATCACCTGTCGCTTCATTCTGCTCCCGTTAGCTCAGTGGAGCTTTAAAGCTTTCTTTTTCAGGCAGTTTCCTTTTACAGCATGCAACTTTAATATTCTAATCCCCGTTTACTCTGGACAAAAAAGAAAAAAACAACAACACAAATGTTCACATCCACCAATGCCTGGCAGTTGTTCTGAAGCGTTCACTGGGCAGCCCTCCCCCAGTCAAATGGCACAGCAGTTGTCGCTGGTATTTATTGGCCACGAGCTTGATTGGCAGCAGTGTTTGGTAGCAAACAAGATCCTTTTAAAGTAGCTTGTCTCCCCCTGTTCAAAGTCAACCATGGAAATGCATCCTATAAAAGATCATTTTCTTCAGCTTTCTCTGACTGCCCGCTTTGGCCAAACAAAAAGCTGCCATTTTCCCTGCCATCCCCCTCCCTAATGGACCTCAGCACCAGTACCGTGCAGCTGTGCTCTGCCTGCTCCTGCCTATTAGATTTGAGTTTTATCTTTCGTAGCTGGCTGACACTTTCATGTAACTGTGATGTTCTTCGTGTTACCTGCAAAATAAAATGATGCTAAAATGTCCATGATGCGCAGGCCATCGCCTTTCCCAGCTCGATGGCTGAGTTTGGTTAGAAGCATCAAAGCATATAAAAAGGACAGACTCCATATTCCATAGAAAATTATTAAAAGTTTCTTGATAGTTTTTTCCTCTTTTTGTTTTCTTCTTTTTTTTATTACAGTAAGACAAACCTTAGGTATCAAAAGTTAATAGATTAAACCATTCTCACCAGGCACCTTTTTAAGCTTTACGAAACCAAATACATCGTGCTCCATGCTATTTCATAAGTTATAAGCACAGTTATAAACTATGCCAGGCAAAGAGAGAAGGGGGGTGCGGGGGGGGGGGGGGTTACTGTTCCCATCATGTGGGAATGTGCCCTGTTTAATCCTGCCTCAGTGTACATCACTTTAAACCTCTCTTTTTAGATTTTATTGCTAAAACGATGTTTAAAAAGACTAAAGTAAAGTACAATTTAGGACTTGAATTCCATGACGCTCTGGGACTTGAATGCAGGAGAAGGAGTTTTGATGCAGGTGTACCTGTGGGTTTTTTAGGTGCATCTCCTCTTGCTATTTATACACAACTACGGGGGTGAGAGGATAAATTTTAAATGAAGTGAGTCACAGCCTTCCCTCTCCTCTGGGTCTGTGCTATTTTTCCTTTTCATTTAAAACCACTCCTCATCTCTCTAGACTCGATCTCTTGAGATGCTCGTTCACCTTCTTATTCACCTAGTTACCCTCTTCAGTAAAGCAGAAATCGGAGTAAACATAGTCTGGTGGGGTTTGAAGTTTGGCCAGACACCCAGAGGCATGTAGAAAGGAGGGGGCCAGATGTGCCTCCGTTGGGAGAGGGACTGCATTTCAAAGCAGAAGCGAAAGAAGGAGGAGGATTACGAGCGAAACGGCTAATCTGCTTATTTTTTGAAAATCCTGATTGTTTGACCGGAGTGAATAACAGGCGGCGGCACGCGTGCTGAATCATTTACCACTTTGCAGGTGTCGGATGAGGCGATGATGTGATATTCAGATCAGATTTACTTACACTGCTATCACCTATGATATCAATGGCTGGGAGTGCTCAGTACTTTGGGCATTTTAAAACAATTGCCATAGATAAGAAAACCATTAATTAAAATATTTTGGTAGAAAGATCAAATAATTGGTTTATTCTCTTCATGGTAGAGGAATATACATATTTTATATATGATATTTATAAATGTAAACTGATTGTTCCTGAATTCCTTTTGCTTGAACTATTAACTATGAAAATGAAATATCAGACTTGTTTTCAGCTTCTTGGTTAGTACATTGTTTCACACAGAACACCACATTAAAAATCAGATCATCAGATTTTAACTTAATTGTATGTATATGTGTTTAAAGTATTTTTGACCAAACAATTGTTTCAGCAAGAATAACATTCTAAACAAAATTATTAGAAATGATTAGAATTATGCTGCTTTAAGTGATTTTCTTTTTCATTTTTGCATTCGATTTAGATATTTCAATTTTTTCCACCATTTGATCGCAACACAGCATTAGATCTGGTACAGGTAAACATATAAACAGCTGTTATCCACACTGGCACATTCTGTTGTGAGCAGATGTATGCCTGGGAAGGTTCACCCAAAATATACCGGGGCTGAAAGAACCTGACACTCATCTCATTGCGATGAGTTTGCAGGTACCTGCCACCTCCCGTCAGCACGCTGTCACTAACGTTCAGAGGCAGATCCCCACATGCCGCCCGGGTTCCTTCAGGTAACGCGCACCCTTTCCATCCTGAGAGCTGCTGCGTCAGCCGAACCCAGGGAAATGTTTTCAGAGTATTTCAGGCTTTCTCCGCTCTTACCACGGAGAAGGAAGGTGCTCAGATTACAGCTGCCACACAGTTCCCGAATTACGGGCTGATTTAAGCGGTACCCAATAGACATTCATGACGTATAGACATATATGCTTTTATGTTAAAAACCATTCACCACCATTTGTTAGGTCATCGTCGCAGAATAGCCCAAGTAAGGGCGCCTCCGAGGGAGCGCACCCTGTTTACAAAAAGCTTATCTCCCATGAGACGGGCACATTCAGTCCATCATCCATGATTATTGGAAAAGAGGCCGGTCTCACGGTAAAGTTGTCGCTGCTGGTGTGAGATGGTCGGCAAGGAAACGAGGAATTGCACCACTGATTACTTAGAAGGCAGCTCTGCTGGTGGCCCTCTTCCTTTGGGCCCCCCGCTGAGCAGCTTGATTGAGTTCGCAGCTGAGGAGGCCAATTTGGCGCCCGAGGAGAGATTTGAGCTTTAAAAAAAGGGCGAAAGAGATTTGGGAATGTATGGGTAAGGATATGGATACAAATTGCGATGCCTTAGGAAAAAGAATGGAGATGCACGTGCCGAGGAGCAAAACAACACCTAAGAATACCAACGCAAAATGAAATGATGGAAATCAAATTTACCCATTAACCTTTTTAAGAAAATGTAATGGTGTTAAGCACTTGGTGAAAGTGAATGAATGAAAGTTTGACCAGATAATCTGAAAGTTTTGGACTTCCCCAACGCTATCGGGACTCACTCGCTGTTAAAACAATCCATTTGTCAGCCAAGATTCTGGAAAGAGTGATGAGGCAAAGTTAATGCTTGATTCTAATTTACTTTTCTTGAAGGATTTGGATTAATTTTATGTTCGAACTGCTCTTAGAAATCTTAACGCAGTAGAACAAGAGAGCTAATGAATTATTACTTAGACTGCAGCTATGAAAAAACTGTTTATTCCGCTTCTATCCCTGACCCTGAATTGTTTTTTTTTCCTTTTTAATCCCTTCAGCAGTAAAACAGAGTCCCATGTTTATTTTTTCTCCTATTTTTTTCCTTCTTATCTGCATCTGTCAGTGTTTTCTTTTTCATTTAAACTCTTTTGATGTGACAAGAGAGACATTTCCTTTTATTTAATTTTGGAAAAACTGAGTCGCTATCTGATTAAAGTCAAGCAGAAACAATGTTGAGCTTCAGCGCAGTTTAGGGCCCACAAATCTACTTCAGGTTCAATGTTTACAGAACCAACCAGAGCCATAAACTAATAAAAATTTGAATAAAAGACATGACTTTGTATTTATGTCAAAAGATAATAAAAACTAAATCAGGCCCAATGAAATGCTTCATTTCATATATCAAAAAACCAACTTCCTCTGTGAATATTTAGGAGGTAAATTTGGCAATTCTTGTTAAGATTGAATACATCTCTAACCAAATTGTGTTTTTTACATGAATATTAATAGATATATATATTGTTATCTTCTGCAGGAGAGGTTTGAAGCCTTGTTCCGGATCTACGATGAACAGACAACTTTCCAGATGTTCAAAAGCTTCAGGAGAGTCCGGATCAACTTCAGCACTCCAGAGGCAGCCGCCCGCGCTCGCATTGAACTGCACGAATCGGAGTTCAACGGCCAGAAGCTAAAACTCTACTTTGCTCAGGTGAGTGCCAGTGAAATGTTTAACAGACCAATAAACAGCTCCCCTCTGTTCCTTTTCATTTTTGCGTTTTCTGGTCCTTTTGGGGAGGTTTCCCTCTCTGAGCCACACCCGGCCGCGTCCTCAGCTCACAGAGCGTCCTGTCAGAAGCCATCAGCCACGCCGTCCAGCACAGAAACACATTTGAGATTTAGCGGCGTACATCTGCGTGTTTGTCTGAATTTGGCCTGTGGGGAGAGGCAGGTGAAGAAAAACAAAGCGGTTCACTGCAGGAAGAGCGGAGCGGCAGGAAAAAAGTTCTCTGTACTCCGCGTATTCAGGGATATGAACGAAAAAGACAATGGCAGCACAAAAGTGTGCTAAAGCAAAAATATAAACATGGCTGATGCAAGGATTGCATTTTATTAGGGGTGAATTACCAATAATCCAGTGTTCATCTGAAAAACATTCAGCTCAGTTTCAGCATGGCGGACCTTCACGTGCTTCTTTCTTGAAACAGTAGTTTTCACTTGATTGATGTTCTTGCTTTCCCTTTTCGCAAATGCATGATCAGTCATGACCCCCGTGGCACCACTTTGTACTTTGTAAGAGGATTAAGGATTTTAGAGCTCAGACAATGGCCACTTGAAGTATTGTAATTACGGCAATTGGCAGCTATCAAAATGCCAAAATCCCTTCATGGTTGCAACTGCAATTTGACACTAAAAGGGCATTTAACTGTAGCGTTTGGCACATGGCAACAAGCACAAAAGCTTGACGGCTACCCCACATGTGTTCATGTTGTAGATGTTCACAGTAAAAATGCATTTGCCAGTGTTTAAAATCTGCTCGCTGTATTTGTTCCAATGTATGCTTATGCTAACGCCGTGCTCCTGCTCACCCCCTCCCCCCCCCCCCCGATAGATCCAGAACGCAGATGAGGACATCGATAAGTCGTACCTGGCACCCCCTCAGCCGGTTAAACAGTTTCTGATCTCGCCACCTGCCTCGCCACCTGTGGGCTGGAGCCAGAGCGAAGATGCCACGCCTGTGATCAACTACGACCTGCTGTGTGCTGTGGCCAAGCTGGGACCAGGTCAGTGCCCCCCATCGCGTACTGTGACGGTGCGAAAAATATAAAGGGCGCTTGGTTCAGGTCGGACGTGCTTTAACTCTGTAATGTTGATATTAATGAAAATATGTTTATGTGCACAACAGAGTGAGTGTGTGAAAAATGTCATTTGACTTGCTGACGCGTGAACAGTGACCCAGATAAAAATCTGGAAATAATTTCACGCACCTCAGGTGGTGTTATGGAAAGGAGGTGTATGTAGTAAGATAACTGAGCTGTCATTTTCCTCATTTTTAAAGATTTTTGTCGGAGTTTAAAGTAGATTTTTCTAAATCTTCTTACCGTGCTGCTCATGTTTTGTTTTTTCATTCGAACTATCAGTATTGATGATACTAATAATTATGGTAATGATAACAACAGAAATAGCACTTCTTCCTGAATGTAGATGTATAAACTGTTAGAATTATGAACAAATACTGCTGCCCAAACTTATAGAGATAAGGGAGATTCACTATGCCACAGATTTCTTTTATCTTTTTTTTTCTTTAGATTTTCTAACACGCTTAAGATTTTGAAAGTTTTAAGGTAGATTTTTTTTTTGTTGTTCCTGGCCTGCGTCTTTTTGCTCAGAAAATATCCCCATGAAGCAGTTAACTTGCAGCATGTTCCCATGATTCCATATGTGGGCGCAATCATGCTGATGAAGTGGAAAGAAATATTTAGGAAAAGCTTGACCAAACTTTCCACCTTCCTACGAACGCAAACGCACGCGCGGCAGCTCGGAGGGCCACTTTCTGCTGTTGCCATGGAAACAGACGGCATCAGGAAATGGCTTTGTTCCCCACCTTACGTCCTGGCATCTGAAATCAGATTAGGGCCCGGCTGCAGCGCGGCGCGCTGCCTCCCTCTGTCAACTCCCCGCGGTAACAGCAGGCCTCTATTCAGCGGCCGTCTCGCTGCTTGGCACCGCTGTGAAAAGCCACCGCACCAATTTCCTCCTCTGCCAGCTGTCTGATCTCATCGCCATGGTAACTGTGATACAATCTAGCGAGTCTGTGTTTTTCGACCGGAGTTTGTTGAGTGTGGCATCACGACAAATAACAGGACTATACCTGGAAAGGTCGCGTTGTTTTGTCTTGATTCAAAGCTTCTGGAGTGTGGATCCGCACCGGAGCATCAGAAAAATAGTGATTTTTATATTTTGTGTAAGACAGAGGCAGTTGGTGTCCAGATATATATATATTATTATCGTATATATATATTTTTTGGACAATAAATCATGCTTTCTCTTCTCCTTTTGTCTGTAATTTTCCCCTCAGGTGAAAAATATGAACTCCATGCAGGCACCGAGTCCACCCCCAGCGTGGTCGTCCACGTGTGTGAGAGCGAAACGGAGGAGGACGAGGCGGCGAGGCCGAAGCAGCAGATCGTCCAGACAAGACGTCCGGACGGGCCCCCCAAGGTCTTCAACTAGAGGGGGCGCCCTCCACTCACCCCGACACCGGCGCGGCCCAAACCGACCGCCCCTTTGAATCCGCAAACACACCTGCCCTCTCTCTCTCTCGTCTCTGCACTCACGGAGAGCGCCGACGCCCCTCATTTCAGTTCAACAACAAGCGAAAACAACAACAGACATTGCTCGAAGACGGCGTTTGTGAGGAGCCCGGCGACCGAATGAGGCGGCTTGAAAGGGAATGGATGAGAATCACCCCCCCCCCCCCCACACTCATCACATTCTGCGGACAGCGTGGGGAGTGGCGGGCACGCTTGCCTCCACCCCACCAGCCCCTCCTAGTTTTCAGCAGGAGGGGTGAAAATACCTGTCCCGACACAGGCACCTGTCACTTGTCTCACACACACTCGGCTCTCATCGCTCGTCCCGCTCAGTAGCTTGCTTGCCAGTTTGCTTGTTGGCCGTACCTCTCCTTTCGTATGTCATGTGTACAGTAATCTTTACGTGCGGACATGCAGCAACTCAAAGCAAAGACATTTTTCAATTTTCTTAGTTTCAATTGTTTTCACTCTCTCTCTTTATCTCTCTCTCTCTCTCTCTAATATATATATATATACATATATACATATATATAGACTTAGATATACATTTTCTATTTTTTCTTTTTAATACAATTTCATATCTGCTGTTTGATGCTTCAGCTTGCATCGGCATTGAGTGTGTGATGTTTTCACTCTGCATGTATATACTGTATTGGAAAAAATACGTACAGAAACACAAATACAAGTTATATGAAGAAAAAGGACCCTATTTAATGACAAAAACAGCACGAAACGCCATATGTGAGTTGTGGTTGTTTAACTTTAATTTCACTGCTTTTTGTCCTTTTTCTTTCTTTTTTTTTTTCCTTAGGAGAGGTGTTGTTTTTGGCTGACCTGCTGATGTGTAATCTTACTGTGTATTTTATACCCCAACATTTTTGCATGCGTAGTTACTCAGTAGATGAGGAGCTGAGGTGTATTATTATTTTCTTTTGGTTGTTTGTTTTTTTCTATTGTCGTTTGTGATGGCAGGGACATGCTGTGGCATAAGTGTATCCTCCTGCACACAGTTTAAAGTGACGTCTTTCTGGAAAACAAGCTGAACCGAGTTTTGTAAGATTGACAGTTCCTTCTTTAACCTGATGGCAAATTGACATTTGCTGCTTTTCGAGGAGATTTGATGGATCACTGAGAGTTCACCCCCTAATTTCTACACGGAGCTTTGGATGTGTTTTTTTGTTTTTTCTCCCGAATCCGTTTGTTGCACTCGTCGTCTCCATGGTCCTGACTGCATCGTTTGATCCGATCCTCCCTCTGTGTCAGGTTCCCCTCTGAGGCCGACACTGCTTGTTTTGCACTGAGAACTTTTTGATGTCTCCATGCATTGGTGGGGCTCCTGACCGTCTCCTGCTGTGCACCCGAACACTGCACTGCTTTTTTGCTGTACATATGTGGAAAGATTGATTTTAGATTTTGCACCTTTCATGGAAGCATTTCACAGAGAAAAGGGAAAATTAAGTTTGCCTCATGAGATACAATCTCATACAGCAACCAAAGCATTCACTGTCATTGCAGCATGAAATTGTTTTCAGACATTGATGTGAATTGTCAAACTGAGCAGGGAGAAATAATGTTTTCTCACATACCTGTGCGCTGGTTACTTTTCTTGCCGTATGTCTTCTTAGTGAAAAAACCTTAACTTATCCTATTTTACATTCTTCACCTTTGGAAGCAACTTAACAGATGTTTGTAACTGGGCTTTTGAGTGTTGGAGGTCAGTCTAAACCTTATTAATGCCATTAGGCTGCATGAATTCTACAACTACTTTTTGCTATACAACAATATTAAGAAGCAAAAGATAAGTCGGTGTGCATGTGAGTATTTTACTCTGTGTTTTCTATTTTTCCTTCTCCACAAAGTCTTTTTTGAGACAAAGTAGGGAGCACATTCTTCGGTTTCTTTATTGTATATTGATTTCCTTTTAGCTTGAGCTGAACACCTGGTTAGCCTTTTCACCAGCATATTGCAGTGAGTGAAACGCTCCACTTCATTTTTGCTCGCGTGAACCTTTCAGGCCTTTTGAACGGGAGAGTGTACTTCTCAAAAGGTGCTGACATGCCGTCCGGTTGCAGGTTTTAAATGAGGCAGAATGGCACAGCAGAACAAATAACAATATCTCGTTTATTGTGTTTGTCCATGTGAAACATTGGTCTTATCTTCTGAGAAAACAAAAAGTCCTATGAAGCGCACCATGTTGGCAGAGTGCTCTTTTATTGTGTTTTGGCACTGCAGGTGAGTCGTCGCAGATGCATTTTGATGGATGATGAGAACGAAGAAGCAGTGGAGCAAGAGGAAACACACTCATGAAGATTTCTTTCTTTTTTTTGTCTGTGGTTATTGTGTTTCAAAGTGGTGCACTTTGGTCACAGTGAAACAGAACATGTATATTTTTGTACATACGAGGTCGTTTTCATTTCTGTTGCCGATGACGGTCATTCGTTTGGCACTGTTGTAACAGAAACAAAAAAAATGTGTAAACAAGAAGTCTTGAGGATGTTCGATCAAAACCAACTGTCGCGGTGTTGTGTTCAACTTGGGTTCAGTTTGAATGTGGATTTTATTTCTGGGGAACATCTACTAAAAAGCTCAATACTACCGTTATAAATGTCATTGTTGTATTGTTTCTGTTGAATCTAAATAATGTGTCTTGTATTGTAGGAATCCAGAAAACAAAGTAGCAAAACAAGCAATAATTTACAGTTCTGTAATACCAGTATGTGTATTTTACATGTTCTGTACTTATTTCTCTGACATGGCCTCTGTCTCTGACAGTATCCACTTCTACTTGTGTCGTATAATAGTCATTTGTTTCACATCAAAAAATGCATAAAGACTTATTCTTAAAACCCATGTTTAGTGTTGCTTATTTTTGGCGATTCTCCACTTTGGTATCTACAGTTTTCATCCAGAAACACATAATATTGATATTTGCACATATTTGAAAATCTTCCCAGGCCTCAGGAAGCCATTTCCTGCAAGAACTATCAACAAAACCTAAAAAATCATCCCATTAACTATATTAATGTTCACTATGTCAGTTTTTATTGTTTCCATACTAAATGAAAATGTCCCAGTCTAACTTCCGCTCACTTCTGAATATTGCCCAATAAATTATTTTTATATTGTTTTAATCCTATTGACAAATCCCAAAGCGAATCAAAGGAGGAAGAAAATCATTTGAACGACATTACTTTAAAAACGACTCACGAGCCTATTTCTTACCTACAGGGCTTAACATCAGTTTTGCATGAATATGAATGCAGACAGTTTTGAACAGAGATTTTTAAGGTTCGGTAGAAGGACAGAAAAAGCTTGATGTGTTTCGCTCTTACTGCGACACGGGGCTGAGCTCCGTCACCTGAACATGGCAGCTCATATTTTCTTCAAGGACCCAACAGCAGTTTATATTCTGTCAGGACAGCTCAACGGCCAGAATTGCAAGGTTGATTAAATGATTCCCTCAGTGAGTAACACTGAATGAGAAATTTACAGCATGGAAGGTGTGTTTCTGGAGCCTTTTTTCAATTTTCCGTTGCAACTTATCTCTCTCACTCCCTAGCATAGGTTATATAGCCTTTTGTTTTTCCTGTTATATTATATCTCTTATCCATATCCTTAACAATCACAAGAGGAAGTAAGCAACAAAAGCCAAAGCCAAGAACACTGCTTGGCCGTGTCTCTGATTTCAGAGGAGAGTGTGTTGTCAGGACATGGTTGCTCAATTTTGGAAAATGCACACAGCTTATGCACGAATTTCCGATGAATTTTGTGCTGCTGAACATGTGATCTAAGTTCAAACATCACCTGTATCATGCTGACTTACTTACCGACAGAGGTAAAAACAAAGAGCGCCTTCAGGAGCTGAGGACTGTGCAACAGCTGTGAGATGAGGCACGCTCTGCATCACCCTGAGCTCTCCAGAAACAAAAGGCCTCTCTCTTTTTCCTGCGAGTAACGGGGAATTCCTCCTCACAATGACCCGTACTGTTGAGCGTGGCGGTGTTCGTATACATGCAACAGACGACAGATCAGGTTAACACGGCTCTGATGGCTGTTAATGAGCTCTGCAGCAGGAGAGTCTCTATACTCTTTAGGTTCACACAATATAGTGTCTGTTGCTCTGTGCTGAATCCATGTCATGAGCCTGGAAGATTATATGGTGAACAGGGAAGTTTTTTTAAATTATTGGCTCCTTTAAAAGTCAATTTTTTCTAAAATGAAGAATTCTTGAAATCAAATCAAAGGAGTTTGGACGTATGAATGTTGTTGTTTTTCACAGTGTAACACGCAGGTTGTTTACACCATTTCTGTTGGACTGAAACTGACACAATGCTAGGATCCTATTTAGGGAGATGTATTCTTCTCTGTGTAATCTGACCTCCACCTTTTATGCTTATGTAATGGTCTGCCACCACCGTGGAACTCTGAGAGGCTGCATACGCATACAAGCCATTTATAGAGGTCTCAGCGCATCCGGTGACACAACACAATGTGTTTCTGCTCAAATTAGTTGTTTTTTATTCTCGCTTTTCGGTCGTGGACGTCACCTGGCAACTACTGGTAATGTGAGGCTGGACCCCAGTGTCTTATTGACACAGATTTGAAGGAGATACGGTGAGGCTTGAGCCACAAGAGGCTGTATTCTTCAGGTAGATCAGTCAGTTCCAGTAATAGTACAACAGGATAATAGAGAAGGGTGATGCATATCTTTCCTCCTCACACACCCAACACCCTTTGAACACGTGGTTCTTGTAGTTAATATTCAACCACGTAGTGAATGCTCAAGTGAAAACGCTGAAACCACATCATTTGTCTCGTTTCAAACAAAACAAACACACACATAGCTTGATTATGCTTTCTTAAACGAGGTGTAATGATCAAACTTATCGTGTGTTGTGAATCTCACACAGTATTTGTGGCATCTGCTTGTTATTCCAAAACTAAAAAACTGCATTTGAGGTATTTGTATTTCCTTTGGATAAATCCGGGGCACACATCTGTGTGAGATGCAGAACTGGGACTTTGCTATGAGAGTAGACAGCTCTGGAGTGGAGTGGAGCGTGGTTTGTGATCAGTGGCTGCGCCACGCCTCGGGGCCGGGCGGAAGGACCTGAAAAACCAGCTGCCTGACATTATTACGCTCAGGGCAGAAAGTGAGCATGTTCGGAGTCCCCTCCTCCTCCTCACCCTCCCCATCTTTTTCACATAAACACTTAGATTCCCAACTGAAATCACACACAGAGGCACCAGTACTTGTTTTTTTTTTCCCCTGCGTCTGCTACTGTCCTCCTGGTTTGTACCAGTAGGGCTGTCTGTGACTTTTGAAGCCGCTGGGACATCCTTCACTCTTTTGGAGCACCTCGGAGTACCATCTGCCCCCGTGTGCCTTCTGCCCCAGACCTGCTGTGATTGCCGTCCCTCACCGGTGGACTATGCCCCCCTGAGTCAGCTGAGGGAGGGGGGGGCGCACTGCTCTGGCTCCCATCTGGAGAATCTAGCTGAATCCGACCAGGAGACGGCTCGGTAGGTTCAGAAGACTAGAACTCTTTTTCTCTTGTGGATTTTGCTATCTGTGTGTGCTGATTGGCCATGGCTGTGTCAGAACGAGATTTGCTCTGACATGTGAGCCTAAAGGTAAGCTTCAAGTGCTGGAAATTTCTATTTCCTATTTCCACAGAAATATGACAAGTCTCTAGAGTTCTTGAACCAGTGCAGAGACTTGAACTTGAGACCTCAAGTCTCAAGATTAACCCTCAGGTTCTTTCACCAGCGGGGTGCATATCTCTTACTGATAAGTGTCTTTTCTTTGGGGCAGCGGTTCTTGTTATCTCATCAACTTCCTCTGTACTGTAAAAAAAAAAGTGTTGGTGCACAATCTCAAATATATCCAGATGGGGATATATAGACTTAGACTTAGACTTAGATAGTACTTTATTGATCCCTTGGGAAGACTCCCTCAGGAAATTAAGGTTACCAGCAGCTTACAGGGCAAAAAAGCATTAAGTTAAATTAAATTCAATTAAGCAAAATAAATACAAAAATACAGATTAAGTACAGTGTATCTCATAGGAGTTGTATGTATGTAATATCGCTTCCCCCTGTCATTTTTTTTGTCATTGCCATCATGTCTTGACAGCATGTACAGTTCCAAGATTAGAAAGGTTTTACTTCTCACCTTTAGCTAAATGTTGCTTTATGTCTCATTCCAGTCCTGAAATTAAATGTTTTGATCCTGTTGTAAAAGTTCCTTCTTAACTATGTGACTATAAGCTGTGGCAGTTTTATCAAACCAAGCTGAGAGGAAGATTCCCTTTCCACACAGGAACCATGTTATCTGATGGGCCTGTAAAAGATAAGCACAACACCACACTATGTACCGTGTGCTGTGTCCTCCTCTGTTATCACGTTTAACCCAGACAAGCACTATTTTTAAAAAGTGCTTTGCTTAAACAACATACTGCGCATACCTGAATAGGACAGTAAATGTCCCTCATTTGCACACTGACAGCAATCTGTACTCACTTCTTTGTGTGGTGGTTGAAAACAGGGTCACATTTGCATATGCAAAGGCAAACTCAAAAGTAAGTCCTGTTATATTCTATTCTGTGATATTCAAATCTAACATTATGATTACTCAAGGGGAATTCTGATTCATGCCGGGTTTCTTATTAGGGTGCTTCTCCACAATTAAAAGTCCAAGCAGTTAAAGATGTGAACAAATCAGTTGAGGACTGTTTTTTGTTGTAGTTTAAAAATGACATCCCACTTTTCTGAACTCATCTGATGGATTCAATTTGAACTCAGCAAAATAATAGTCTATTTATTGCAAAATCACTGTGGTGTTTTTATGCCCTTTGAGTCTTGATTTTGAGCACTTACTGTCAACTTTAATTGCTTCATATTGATATCCTACTTTTTCTGAGGGAGTTCAGCCTTTGGACTGATAGTGTAGTCTCTCAGGGGTCTAAGCTTCTAAATATTATGTACCCCATTCCCTTTTTAATATCTTAAGTCCCAGCACGCTAGCCTCTGCTACCTCAGTAACTGCTACCTCAGTAACTGCTACCTCAGTAACTGATTGAAATTAGATAACATCTAATCTAAGTAATCTAAGTAACATCTAATCTAAGTAATAGTGTAAGTTTTAATTTCATCTGCAACCACTAAGCTTTCTACTTTTAAATCAAACGCTTAAAAATAACCTAATTTTGTCTCAGCATATGTCAAATATTGACACTGTCTTTTGAAAAAGGTCATACTTTTATGTGTCTATAAATGTCACAAATTGCTGTATTGAGTGTGCAGATGAGCAAATTTGGATCTGCTGGGTTGCTTTGTATGCGTCTCCCCTATGAAAACACAGAGGAAACTAAATTGTTCCTCTTCTGCATTCAGTCCACTGTCTGAATAGACCAGTAAATGATTTGTTTACTAAGGGAGGAAAGAAAAGGATAGTGAATCTGCAGCCTATGTGAACAGCCGCAATTTGTGGAAGAACAAACACGGCTTAAGGAGAGGACTGGCAGACAAGCAAATAGATTGAACTTAATAAGAAAGTGATTAAGTTAGTTTTAAGACATTTGCCTCCTTCATAATGTTGAGCGAGAAAAAAATACATGTTAGTTTAGTAACAAATGCGGCTTTGTGGAGTATCAGTTTTTACAGAAATGTGTTTCTTGGTCTTTATTTATGAGGTGCTTGTAGCTGTTTGTTTCACTTGTTACTTTACGGCTCAGCATTGCTGAAATGAATTTCACCGTGTTATTTGAATTGTGGTTGTGTGCTTATGATTTATGGCATTTTCAAGCCTTGCCAAGCCGAACAGCTACTTGTTCTGTTTGGTTAGTGGAGTGCTGTTGGAGCAGCTGATGAATACACATTAGAAAACATGCGCCACCCTCAAACTGTGCTGTCGCTATAAAGTCAATATCCAGTCAGTTCAGTGTTTGGTGAAGGCTGGAAAGGTGGGCAACAAGTTCATCTATCAGTATTTGAGTTGTGTTACAATGTCGTAAAAAAAGCTAAACAGTATTTCATCACTTTTTACTAAGTTTGATGGTAATATTACTGCCTGTCGCAGCAGCTTGAAGAAGCTCCAAACTTAAATGAAAAGAGAATTCTTACCAAACACTGTGGCCTTTGTGCAGTGACATGGACATTAATACTGTCTTTGATTCGATAGCTGAAGAATAAACGTTACTATCGGTTTTCAGCGCTGAGTGCTGATGACCTGCAGAATTATGCACCTGCTGACTTCACTGAGTCACAAAGAATACGGGATGAGAGCAAGCACAAGATCTGACTGTATGGGTTCAGTGAAGAGGTGATGAAAGTGGAGTTTTTTTTTCAGCTCTGCTTGGTCCTACATGTGCTTTGCCACAACGGACAAAGCCTAACCCGAAGTCTGTATGATGGACGCACACCCACAACTGACCGACAGCAAGCATGTGCTACTACAGATGCTGACAGGGCGTGCCAAATTAAATATAGGCAGAAACCTCATTTACAGACTTTGCTGCTTCTGAGTCCGATTTACTGATGCTGGAACACTCAGCGAATCCAGATTGAAGCAACATGTGTAAATTATTATAAAGGAAGTTCCCTCCTCTTTTATTTCTCACTGTCATCTGAATGTAGCATTGTTATAAATCTCAAAGACATCAAAGTTTACACCTATTTTTCTTTCAGATAGAGTAACAGATAAGAGCCCCCAAAACAACATCTGAAGATCCATTGCTGACAAGCTGAAATAAAAGAGGCTGTGGAGTGCTCTAACCTTTTCCCCATGGCCTTCATTGGTTGTTAGGATGCCTTGAACATCATGTTTGATGAATCTTTTACAGTAACACACATCTTGACCAAGAGCACCCAAACTTTTGCATGCCAGTGCAAAAGGAGCTTATTCAGCAATTAAACTGCACCATTCTGTAAGAGGCCTCCCCATATGGCAATATGAATTTTTGGGTGGTTGTCCTGTTCTTTTGCAGCCAAAATAATTTTAGAAATGTTTAATCTCTTGAGCAAAGATGAATAAAAACTAAAAATGACTTTATTTGAATTATCTTTAACATAAGAAAAGTCTGAATTTGCTAAATGAGTCCAGCGCTGTCAACCAGTAAAAACCGTAGAACATCTGGATCACATGCACTACAGATCAGCTCACGAAAACAAAGGTCACTGCCTGTATAACTGTATATAGCTGTCTTATTTCTTTCTTTCTTTCTTTCTTTCTTTCTTTCTTTCTTTCTTTCTTTCTTTCTTTCTTTTTTTAACTTACAAAACATTTTGTAAGCAAAAGAAAAATGGTGTTGTACAACCTCTCAACTATCAATTTTACGTTTTATACCTTCCTGTGTTACCAAAGCAAATGCGTTGCCAATCGATCAGTGAGCCACTTATCAGTGGCTGTCACCTCTGTAAACAGAAAATGTGATATATGTCATCACTAATCTCTGTTCCAACTATTATGTCAGCTCCTGCAGAGACAATTGTGCAGTATTTACTGGAAACTGAACAAAATATTTAATGCATTTAAGAACTGAATACCAGTTCCATTTTGTCATTTGTCTGTGCTTATCTACATCTCTGTAATACTGGTATATGTATATACTCAAATATTAATTGACAGGCAGTGAAAAATTGGAGGTCAATCCTATTTAGAGAGGAAACACAGGGTGGTTTTGTTCGTGAATATAACAACTGTGTCTAAGAGTGTTCCGCTTTCCATAGCCAATGCAAATTTTACCGGCTTGTGTCATTACTCATGCACAGCTTGTCAAAGCAACTCTCTAACCACAGAGAAATTTAACATTTTGCTTGAACTATCTTTTCGTATGATCATGGAAATGGTAAGGCCCAAATTGACACACCTTCACCAAAAGCAAACCCTCTCATTTCTATGAGCAGAGCTGGATGACTTCAGGATTAGTCACTACGCATGTCTCATGGGAGTCGATGACCAAGATGCAGCAGAACAGACGACACTAGATTTTTGTATTGCGCAGTAAATCAATTTAAATAATGATGTGTCATTATGAGAGAAGGTGTGTTAGGAATAAATCTCTTTCACACTCGCATGAGTCAGAGACTTTTCACTGTATGTTTTACATTGTTCCATGTGAAAAGAGAAGAAGGAAGTCCCACACAGATATGCCTGTGTGTTTCTGTATGTCTTACATGGAAAGTGAAGTAAAAGAGGCATTTTGAAATATAGCATTCTCACTGGCATTTTTCTCTAAACCAACACATGCACTCTTCTGAAATCTAACCAAACAGTACAGATACAATTGCTTTATGGGAAGTTTGTATAAGGGGACTTATACAAACCGCAGACTTGGTTGTGAACAAATTCAGGATCCCCCTGCAAATATGAGGATTTCTGCCACATGGCTTATAACATTTACAACACAAAAGATGATATGAATATTATACCAATCTCAGTTCAAATTGATAGATTTGAACACATCTCAAAAATAGTCATTTTGTTGGCGTGTTTCTCTCCTATCCATTGTGTGTCAGGTGGTCGGTTCTGAGTTCATTTCTTCGGATGTAATGTCACAGATTTCAAACAGGACAGCGTGTACAGGACTCCAAACTGGGCCATGTTCTAAACCTCCACTGCTGAGTCGGCTCTATGGAGCTTTGGTCGGGATGATCTTTGAGCCTAGTGGTTTCAAAGGAATGTCTCTGTTGGTTCCTTTTTTGCAAAAAGAGTGCTTGGATGAGGCCATAAAAAGATTTTTTAAAACACAAACAGTGAATAGTTGCACCATAGTCAACATTCCCTGTGGTTCTAAAAATCCTGCCGACAGTTTCTGCCATAATACTCTGGTCCTCGTTGGCATGTTTCTTTAAAAGATTCAGGAATTGATGCCGTTTCTCCTCTGTGCCGCTCATTTGAAACTGCATTGCATCAATATTTCTATCTTTGAATCATCTTCTATATACTTTCCTCATTCTCTTCTTGGTTTTATCTGCATCACGCCCTATTATCATGTGTATAATTTCAATAATTCACAGGTAGTTACTTGCTTTTATCTTTTGCCAGGGTATTACTAAAGATGACTTCAACTGTTTCACCTGTTCCCAACACAACCGTCCCCTCAAACACAACTGCTGTCACCAAAAGCAAAGAGCAAATACTCATCCAAAGTAAGTACATGCGTGTGTGTTTGTGTGGGGGTGCATAATCGTGTTTGTTTTCAGTTAGAGGCAATAAAACACCCTCTGCTGTTTGTTGTGGACACCATCAGATATTAAGTGCCCGGATGAAAAAGAACGACACGATAAACCTGATGCGTCATTCTGGCTAATATACGATAGTGCGGGAGTGGCCTCTGTTCATGTTTTCGAACACAATTTCCATATTCTGTTTGCATTTACGTAATGCTATTACCAAGTGGCAATTGCTTAATAAAACAAAGAAAGTTGAACCAGAAGACACAAAGGGAATGTGTTAAAATGGCATATTTTTTACGAGAGAGATACAGTGAACTAAAAGAACAACCTTTTCATTCTGGTCATGGCTCATTCGCGCCCTTTCTTTGTCTCAGGCTCCGGAGCAATGATTGCTGTCATTGTAATAGGCATCATCATCATTCTTGCCATTCTACTCATCATCCTGAAGACGTACAACAGGTGAGGTGGCATTCCTGCAGACTAAATGTCATTGGACATAAAAAAAAGCTGTGGTATTTCTGTCCACTTCAAGTGGGATTATGAGACCGTTGAGGTTTTTCTTTCTTTCACCGGGCCCTTTCTGTAATAACAATGTGTAGGTAAGCAAAAACTGATCACCTGTGTCTGAGATCTTAGTCCTTGAAGGCTGTACATTTTTGTGACACAGTGACTACTCATAAGCCTCTGTAAAGGTTAAAACAATCATATCTAAGACACCCGAGGGAAATTCCCACGTATGACTGATTGGAATGTTCATAGAAAGGGTAAACATGAAATATGTTTTTAGGAATAATTCACCGTATAACCGAAAGCAACATTTGTTAAATGTTACCAAAATGCCAATAATTGCTCCTTTTTACAAACTCAGGCGCACGTATGCATCCAGAGTCCTGGGGGCCAGGAATGCCTCCAAACCTCGTCCGAAGCTGTCCCAATCCACCACTCAGAGCAACTTGCCTCTAAACGACGTGAGGGTCAGCTCGGTGTCCGGCAGCCTCATCAACTCGAGCCCAGCTTCAGAAATCGCCTTTCAGCTGCCCAGGGAGGAGCAAAGCAGCGTGGATCGCGTGGAGCAGTTCAGCACAAACAGTGAATCCACTGTGGTCACCATTCACAATCCTGTGAACACATAGCACACAGACCTGCACGGACTAATGCTGAGTCTCATAACAGACTTTGACTGACACATATTGTGCTGACTGAATGCTGTGGAAATCATTGGTGTCATAATTGCTTTCATCCTTTTGCTGTACAAAAATATACATTATGAACAAAATGGTACCAGTAACAGACACAGCGGATATTATGAGGTATACTGTATGGCAAACATGGAAACTTATTTTGTGGAACTTAAGTCAGTGTTCAGAGCAATCATGTTACAATAACATGTACTCTTAAAAGAAAGTGAGAACGAACACTATGATGGCTGATAAAATGTTAGTCCAAAGCAGTGATTCTCAAACGTTTCCTCTGTTTCACTATGTAAATTTCCCTGAGTTATCCAAGCCTTTCTTCAGTGCCAGCATGCCATCTTGCGTGTTCAAAACTTTGGTCCCCAGTGTGAACATTTCTGTATTAAAGGCAATAAAAATGTTATGAGCCAAAGCACAGTTATCATAAAAATCAAAGAAGACCTAAATAATATGACAGATTATGAAGAAGTTTTGTTTAGTATACCTGTATGCGTGAGGAATAGAGATTATTCTGATTCACTTTGGCCTGTAGTATTTTTTTTTATTATCATATGTTGGTTTAACTTGTGTATATTTCCATTTTAGAGATTAGTAAATTAAATCTTTCAATTTCGAGTGCATTTCTCTTTTACCCACATGAGGTAAAGAGTGCATAGAGATGTGATGGTAAAAAGCTTTCAGCATGACCTTCTATTGAAAATCCTTTTTAATTTGACACTTAAGTATTTTGCACTTTATATTCACTATTCCCTATTTCTGTTTCTTGTGGCTCTTTTAGAAAATGAGATGGAAATAAATGTATTATTTTTAAAAGTGGATGCCTTGTTTACTGACATAAACTAATTAACACATGACATAAATGGATGGAAAGAGAAGTAATAAGAAGACTGTGAAGTGAGTTACTGCGCCCTCTGCTGGTACCTGTTGAATCTTCAACCATTCATAGCTTTAAAGCTGCATTCAAGACAACAATAATTGGCGTGTAATCGTTGCAGTTTGGGAGTAAAATCAGAGTACAAGTAAAACAGCGTTCGCTTGATTAATAATGATGTCTGAACCTGCGTTTTGTGTAACTTTTGAAAGATAAAGATATGTTAAAGCTACAATAAAGGGGTAAAAAAGGCATACTGTTGACCACCGGAGAAGAGTCTTGAATGCAACTTTATATTGACTGTTTGAAAACGACAATGGTGACTGTAGGTGAGTGGTAACTCATCCTTGCGTGTATCTGTAAAGGTCAGCAGTGTTCAGGTTACTCGTGTATTTTAGTGTTGATATATTATCTCTTTCGTTTCTCATGACACATTAATCAGAAGCCGAATTAGCACAGTGCATGCTAAGGAAGTACAAGGGCTAGCGAGTGTTAGCCCTCCGTTTGATCCAGACGTAGTTTAGACACTGCTGAATATTATGAATGGTCATTTTTTAGCAAAATGTGTTGGGATTTAACGTAATTCTTGTTTGTAGTGGAGTTGTTGAGCCTCCTCCTGGTGTCAGTTTTGTGGGGATGCACCAACCCTTTCCTAAAGAAAGGCTCGGAAGGGATAGAAAATGTGTCAACAACCAGCAGAGTCGCGCAGCTACTGGCAGAGATCAAGTTTCTCTTCTTCAACATAAAGGTACATTTAGAGGGGGGTAATCTTTTAACCTTTTTGAAGTGACATTTTAGCCCTGCCGATGTTCCAACATTTTCTCCCTCTTTGCGTTTCTGTGTAGTACTTGGTCCCATTTCTTCTGAACCAGAGTGGCTCTTTGGTCTACTACTACACTCTGTCAACCACAGGTGAACATCACCATAGACACACTGGCATCTGTGACATCAAAAATGTACATTTTCAAATAATAATTTGCAATTTTCCAAGGAGAGAGATTTAGAACAACTCAAACATGAAGCCCGAAGATATTCTGAGTTACCTTTAAATACACAGAGAGAGCTGAATTAAAACGATAATGATCCATTGCGACTGCATTTTTCCATTTGCATTAATTTGTCATGGTCTCCCCCCGTGCATAATGAAGCCTAATGAGAATTCACACAATTTGGAGGCTGCAGACCCGAGCCCTTCACAATGACACAGTTGTGCAGAGATTTCGTACAGCTGTTTTATGCTATGACATTTTTTTATCTCATGGGAAAGTTGTCCTTAACTGGACCGGAAACAATAGACAGACCAAAAACGGCTAACCAGAAATAAGAAAAAGGTTGAAAAACAATAAGGAAGAAGGACGTGAGAAACAATGGACCCTTTAGATTATTTTTCTATGCAGCTTCAGTCTGTCACAAAGCAGCGCTTTGTCCTCTGAGGGAGCGTTTTGACTGCTGATATGGGCGTGTGCTGGTTATCTGAATGTACCTGCTATTATTGGCCAAAGAAATTGCAGAAAAAAAACAAACTCTCTTCTCATCCAGAGTTGTCTCTCGCTGTTCCTGTGGCCAACTCTCTCACCTTCCTTTGCACTCTGCTGACTGGCAAACTACTTGGAGAAGAGTTTGGTGGCAAACGTTAGTCACTTCTGTTTCTTTTAACAGCGCTATTGTTATATTTGAAGCACAAGCAAATTGTTCCCTTTTTGGACACAAATCATCACCCTCTCCTCTTTCTTTTAAAGCATCATGTCCTCAATTAACCTTCCTCTCTGCAGAAGCGGTCTTGGGAATGTTTCTCACCATGGCCGGCATCACTCTTTGTGTTGTAAGCTCCATCAATGACACTCAGAGAGAGAATACAGCCCAGCCGGTGCTCTAATGGAGGACGGGGTGAAAGGGAATTCCTCTGCATCGTCCGGGCGATGCTTCAGCGGGGAAGCAAAGAAGACCAGAGCTGGAGCTGCGGCAGAAGCGTAGAGGGCCATTTAGATTCAGACAGCAGCTCTCATGAGAGAAACAAACTCAGCTTGGGTTTCAAAAGACTTGTCTTGGAAGAAGAAGTTAAGGGGAAGTGGGTTCACGTGGAGTTCACTCCCAATTTTCGGCTGAATGTACGGCGCTCGCGTAGAAATCGGTGGCTGTTAACTTTTACTTTTGAATACTCTGCTGCCCTCCCTGCGCCAGGCATTTGCATAGATGCTATAAAAACAACACGTCAAGGCAGGAGTTTAAAATGGGCCAATTAGGCGTCAACGTCTGGTTTAACAGGAACAATTTATCACAGCTCCCCTCTGTCTACTGTAGCACGGGTTTGAATGAGAGCAGGACACAGGAGGACACAGGGGCTGACTGATTGTTCTTTACTCAGAGGATTCATTTTCGGCTCCTCCTGCCTTTAATCAGCTTTGAATCACTGACCTTTACACTTTAGGGGGAAGGGCTGATCCAGTGGAACAAAGAGCAAGACAGGCCTCTTACATTGTGCACATATATTTTTATATTGAACAGTTTCTGCTTGATACTTTCCACTGACATTGCTTTATGTTTATTCCTGTGTTGTACAAATAAATTGCTTCATGCTGAACTTTTGAGGCGTTCTTTAATTTGATTAAATTTGTCTAAAATCTGTCTATTTATGTACATAAATTGCAGCGTTGAATACCCACAGTATCCGAATGTTAAACACAGTGCAAAACATTATCATGAGCACCTGTGGGCAAACAATAACGAGTCAATTTCAAGAAGACATAATAGTTTAGGTGTTTGTTTGTTTTTTAACAGCGATTTAAAAAAAAAAAAAAAGAAAATAACACAATAAATGTAATTTGGCTCATTTCCACAGTTACATTTCTACCAGTTTGATCAAACATTCCCGTAGCTGCATGGTGGAAGCAGTTATGGCTCAGAAACTGTGGCCTCCTCCCGCTGATGGCTCTCTCCTGCTCTAACAGATGGAGCATCCTGTCAGTTCTCCTGTCACAGCAAAACATTACATCATCAATGTACACCAAAGACCATTCGGAAGCTATTTTTCTGGTGTCCGACAATAAAAAATGCTGCGGTTTACAAAGTGGAAAGCTGATCTTCCCTCACCTTTCCCTCTGACGGGGATGACGAGGGCCTCAGCTCTGAGGACATCTTCAGCTCAGCCTCCTGTTGAAATGAGAAATGCATACCCTGTCTGTTTCTATCTTTTATAGTCATTACTGGCAGCTTAATTTATTCATCGGGTGCTTTGTTGTGTGGGTGCATGTACCAGTATGTCAGCAGCTGGTTCCTGCTGGTGTTCACATGGTAGCGCCTATCATAGGATCAAAACAAAGAGCACTTACACACACGGCACATTGGAAATTAAATAAAAATACCCACTCACACACGTTTTTACCTGCTCTCCATTGTGCTTGTGTGGGTGTTCTTTATCGTTGTTTTGCTCAATCTTGATTTCTGCTTTCTTATTCAGAAAAAAAACAGAACGTTTTTCTATTTGTGTTTTTGTAATGCAGTTTACACACATTGTCTTTGGCAATCCATAGATAATTTCTTTACGTGCATGGAAAACAGTTTTATTGAAATGAATACACTCATCCTCATTTTACTGTCATTTTCAGAAAGGTCGTGATTGTTTTCAGAGAAATGTTTTTTGTTTGTTCATTAGACAACTCATCACTGACGGATGAATCATTCAAGCGTTAATAAGGCACTTAGTTTGTATGGCAGACCAGTGTCATGTTTATGCATCACAGAAAGCACAAAAATGTATCTGTTGGTTCTGCATTAGCAGAACCTGATGCAAAAGAGAAAATCACAGTCCTTTTATTGTATCCAAAAAAGCCTAAATAACCCAACAAAAAAATGCAGCAACTATGACATTCTTGAAGAGATAGTGGTAAAAGAAACTTTATATATATAGCACAAAAATTGCCTTTTGCACAGTGTTGCACATTATTGTGTGCATGTTTGACCATAATGTGCAGCACCTTATTACTAAGTTAGTGGCAGTATGTTGTCTCCCCCTCCTTCATTAAAATAAAAAGCACCCACCTTCTGTGTGCTGAGTAAACGATCCTCTGTGATGGTTATGTCCTCATCTTCCACTACCTCTGCAACTCTCTTTAGTTGGAGAATTTAGAACAGCATTTAGATATTATCCAGACACGTAGAGCATCTTTATTGGATCACACAAAACAACTGTGAATGATATTTTAGTATCAGACTATAATCCTGTGCTTAGCATTTTAACAATCAAAAAATCTAAACTAACCTGATCAACAGGAAGCTCTGTGGCTGTGTTCTCATCCTCTTGCACCTCCTCAGCTCCTTGTAGCTCCTCTCTCTTTTTCCTTCCCGCCCTTTTGAATGTCCCTTGTGGAATTGTGACTATAAATCAACATAAATTAAAATACACAGTGGTAAAATAAATTGTAAATTGTAATAACTCTAATATAAACTGTAAAGACGTCTCTCTAATTAAATATTTATTATATTTGAAACTTAACCAGGTCCATTGCTCAGTGCTGGTCTTGCTTGCGTTCGGTTCCTGTTGATTTTAACCGGCCTGGAAAAGAACGCAGGGGCCTCTTCAGCTCCCGCTCTCTTGCCCATCTGCTGTGACGCATGAGGAGCTGCATCTTCATCTCCAGTCGATTTCACCCTCCGATCATCGGACTGAAATTGATAACTTACCTCTGAATAGGGCTTTCATGTCATGCAGTATACAGCTGACAAAACGTGTAGAAAATGTGCGGCAAAATGATCACTGCTATATGGCATCAAGTTGCATGAACAGAAAATAAAACAGTTTTTTTGTTTTTGTTTTTTTTACTTCTGGGAAGTCTAGGAGAGCTGAATCACTGTACTGGTCTTGGGGACCACTTCCTGCTTCCTGCCTCTTCTAAGAGAAAAAACACACAAAAAAATCCTTGCTTTGTTTGATTTTGATTTTCACATAAAAAATTCAAATTCAAATTCCAGCTTGTGGAAGTCACTGATGAACTGTAAGCTGCCTAGGCATGGAAATGAGGTAAGCAACTGATGGTAAAGAGTGGAATATTTACTTCCTGTCTCCTGAGAATTCTTCTCTTCCCAGGATAATATCTAGAAAACATAACATCCTGCGTTACTAAAAAAGTGGGAGATTAGTGTTCGCTGTCACAGCTTCACAGTGAAAATCTGAGCAGCAGGAACCGAGGCACATAAACAGACATCTTCATACATTTATTGCATGACAATACCTTTCTGTGGCTTTTGAAATCAACAGCTCCACGTATGGAAGTTTCTTGAATCTCTCGGTTCCCACGGCAACGTAGCAGCGGCCGGTCTCCAGCTCTCCAGCTGAGGACACAGTTACCCCTTCCAAAGTGCACAACCTGAAAAGAGGTATGCACAGGATGTCCATCTCCCACTTATGCCCAGCGGACAGTGTGTGTGAGCTTCTGCCCGACAGTCTCCCTGACCTGCGCAAGGCTCCGGTTCGTAAGCTGACCTTCTCTGAGATGAGGCTCAGAATCTGCTCTAGGTCCTGTCGCATGCTCCGAGGAATGATGAACCGGAATGGTGGACACAGGAGATCTCCGTTGCGGAAAACACTGAACAGAAAAGGGTGGTGTGTGTTTAGAAAAGCCATGAATGAACCTCATGGCCAGATGGTTGAATATTTAGCTACTGCTCTTTTAGTATAAGATTTTTCACAGGTTAAGTGTCTTAAATTACACTTGAAACCAACATGAAGCCATCTCTTATAGCCAGTGAAAATATGATGGGTGTGTCTGACTCACTGTAAAATGCAAGGAACGGGTATAAACTTTCTCCATTTGGCTGAAACATTTGGCCTCTGGATGACTTTTGCCTGGAGGAGACAATCAGCAATCAACTGCAGAGCGTTATGGTGTCGTCATTTTCTCATCAAGACTTGTCAGATTCACATCCCTCCTGCCCCACACATCAATTACACGCCCGCTTATCAGAGCAAGCTCACTTGTCACAAATGTGTGGTTACTGGCTAATGCTATTCTGCTCACGCCAGCTCAAGTGCCGCAGCCATGGAAACTAATGTCGGTCCAAGAGCCCTCAGGTGGCCCATTCGCATGCCATGTCTGATCAGAAGCATCCTCTCAAAGCTCTTTATCATGACATCCCATTTAAATGCAATTCATATGCAATATAAGCTGCATACAAATCGGTCTGTCAGAACAAAAAAGACACTATTGTTTTAAGTAAAGTGGTACACATTTAATTAAATCACAGCAAATTTCAGCAGAGAAGGAATCTGTGAATTTAGGCCTCTGGCCTGCCTGGACATGCACATGGCCCAGATAAGAGACGTGTGGAAGCTTTGTTTCACCCGCAGGATCAAACTCACACGAACATGCTTCCAACATTGCACCACAGCAACCACAACACAGGCATGTAAGACTTTAAAACCCAAAGACTCTTAAAAAAGGAAGAAAAAGAATCTGCTTTCCAAATGGCAGACACCCAAGTCACACACATTTACCCTCCACTGTTCTACGCTTTTCACTAAACTCTAGAGGCTTAAGCCTAAGAACAAACTCTTTTAAAAACCAAAGCAATCAGTGCTGTCAGCTGGTGAAAATACAAAACTACAAAGCATGTTCTTGTCTGGATGAGAGGCTTGGTTTTTATATATGGTGTGTGCTTGTCTGTGTAAATTTCCTTGTAAATAATATTATCATCCAAATCACCACGTCCTGTTTGCTTTTTGGTTAACGGTCATATTTAATCCTGAGTATTAGGACTAAAATGGGACGGAGAAAATGTTCCTGATGATAGGATCAAATATAATCTTCAATTAATGGAGCTGACATGCCAGCAAAGGGCGTCGTGACATGACCTTCTGACAGCACTGTCATTTATTTTTTCTGAATTTCATTAGAACCAGTGAGGTCACTGATGAGGATGAGGCGTGTACAACCGACTGGAGTGTGGCAACTGGCAACTAAATAATGAGGTAAATTTGAGATTGATGAATACTGGAAAAGCTGCGTCCTATTTTTCATATTTGACACGGCAGCTGTTCCAGCAGATCACAGATTTGCCTGTTGGTGCATTCCTCTCAGTTAGAGTGGGATTAATGAATGATGGAATGTGTGAGAAATCACAAAGCCTACCTGGGTTTCTTCACGAGTGACAGGCTGCTTTTTTGCTCCCACGTTTAGGTAACTGTTCATAAAGATGATTCATAACTCAGATTATCATATTTAGACTTTGATTTTAGAGAATTCCCATTGATCGACACAGTACTTTTCTACTCACTCGAGTTTCTTGAACCTCTCAAAGCCAGCAGCAACATATTGAGCTCCTGTCTTAAGGTCCTGGAGGTCTGTGACTCTGTGGCCCTGTCGGGGTGTGTATAGAGTTCTGACAGCAAGAGGAGCCCCGATGCTCTGGGTCACTTCGTTCAGAAAGGCCTCCATAGTGACCACTTGACGCTGGTTGACCACAAACCTCCGCCCGGTGTAGAAGGGGTCTCCATTCCTATACACCACCACATTCTTCACAGGAGGCAGGTGTGACGTAGCTGCAGTACTGGCCGCCATGTCTGAGCCAGAGTCCACACACACGCACAAAAACTCTGAAAAAAAATAGTTTGAGGAGACATATAACTGCATCACACTCACACACCACACATCAATGCAAACATGTGCTCTCTGAGATGTTAGAAACCCTATCTAGTCTGGCACAAACCTTCAGGGGGATGAGGCTGGGGAACTTCAGGATACCCAAAGGTGAAAATCAGTCTCTTCTGTTGTGGTGTGTCTTGACTCCTACTCACCGTGCTCTGCTCCTTTCTGTCCCCCCCTCGCACGGACACCACTACGCTGACGGCAGTGAGTATTTCCTGGTTGCTATGGCAGCATGTCCAGCAATGACTGGCTCTATGGGCAAAACCATCGGTAGAAACCACAACAAAAGACAGACAGAGGAGGGGAGAATGGGTGGGTCTTTGTGCCGTAAGCTGAATCAATAAGATAAGGTTTGTGTTTTCTAAGTAACTGGAAATACTGATGAATCCAGGTTAAAAAAGAGAAACTTCAAGGACAACCATTTTCATATATACAAAGGCATGATCTTAGCAACATAGAATTAAACATTAAACTGCCTCTCTTTAGACAGTTGCACATCATTACTAAAGGACAACAGCAATTTAATACGACAAGTTAAAATCAGTACAACTAACTCCACCTGTGACAAGTGATGACTCAATTGAGCTTTTGACAAATATTATAATGTGCTTCAACATCCTAAATTGAACAAATTATTTCTCCAACAAAAAAACAAACATGGCGATGTGTAGAAAAATAGTTTATTTGTTTCCCAATAGAAAAACTTAAATTTAAACTCTATGCACACACATAAAATATTACATGATATTTACATTGTGAAAGTAATCCATTTATGCATACGTCATTCTCACACTGATGGTATTCGATTGACTGAACACAGTTCCATCATACGTCCAGATGAGATTTAGTTATTCTGTCAGGTGACAGTCAGTCTATCCTTTAGTGATAAGTACTGTGAAAGGAAAAAAAAGGTAGGGGAAATATATATTAAAACAATGTTTCTGTGCCACAGTTCCACTAGAATCAAACGTCAAAGTGATTCAATTATTTAAAGATCTTCAACATGATTAAATACAGGATAAAAAAACAACGGCATCCAGCGTTTTCCACATTAAGTTATGATGTGGGTGTAATAAGAATACTAGATGTGTTAGACATACTTTAAAGGATTCAAATTCAGTATACTAAAATACTACTTAAAAATATCTTTTCAGAGAGGAAAAAGGGTTGAATCCCATAGGATGTAAAAAAAATTGTTTTTAAAAATACAAAAACTTGCAATAAAGATATTGTACCTAGAATATAAACAATTGTAATAAGTGGTATCTGTAAATAGATCCTGCCAGCTAGTAGCAGGTGGTACCTTCTTCCTGCTGTCGATGGCCTGCTGCAGCCACAGCAGCTCCATGGTCAGCGTGTTTCTATGGAGATGCAGCGCCTCGGGGGTACAAGGCACCTCCTTTGCCAAGCAGTACTGCTGACCACCTGAATGAGGGGCGGCGAAACAGTTCTTAAGGGATGCTCCTGTAAATGTCAGTTTAACATATTTTGTTACAAAAATGCATTTAAGGGCACTAAATGGTTCTTTTTATTTTTTATGAATTGGAAACCAAGTAGCATTCCTGTTTGATACTTTGTGCTCATACATTGTTGTCATTTTCTGCTTTTCATGGTCATGTGATAGTTACACTTGCTTAAGTGAAGAAGATGAAGATCCTGCAAACTGAATACAGGACTATGTTTTGTGTGTAGCACTTACCTTTGTGAGAGTAACTTTTCGTATCTAGCTCCAAAGTGCTCCAGACGGAGGATGATCCCCCGATGCTTTCCATCAGACCTCCATCTGTATCTGCTTCTGTGGGCTGTCTCTGCTGCTCTCCATCTCCTTTACCAGGGCATTTGTGTAAACAGTCTCCAGAATCATCTCTCTCTGCTTTTTTAGTCTTTAACAGGGCAGAACGATCTCCTGAGTCATCTGAGCACTGCGGAGGACTGACATCCAGGCCTGAATCTGATTGCTTGTTAAAGGGACGAACACAGGGGGGGCCCTGTAAAGACATGAAGCACAGACATGAACAAAGACATCTTAGAGCACTCTGACCCCGGCAACTGTTACTTACAATGTCTGTGAAGCAAGGGATGGCTATGACTGCCTCAGTCCACCTTAAATCTGTCAGACTCCCGTCAATTTCCTTCACAATTTCCTCAAAGTCCTGACGAGCACGTCTGACCTCGCTCCTCAGCAGGTACCCGCGTGCACGTGCCTATCGAAGGCAAGGGAATAACAATAATAAGAACTCAACGTCTGGTACCTTAATGTGGCTGGTTACATCAATGCTAATACCCAGCCAAAGCTAGCTGTTGTTTACCATTAAGCAAAGTTGCTAAAGGCGCCTGCATACCTAAAAAATGACTAAATACCCCTCCATTAAGTCAAAGAACTTAATTAGAAAACATTCTCACCTGAAAACACGAGATTATCTTTTCACATTTACTTCTGTCCATTACTACGGTTACGTGACATCGCTTCTACGGAGAGCGGGAGTTGAACTCAAATTTTATTTACTTCCTGTTTTGAACTAAATAGATTAAAAGTATACCTTTGTGAAAAGTGCCTTTTCAAACGTTTTTAAGCATATCCGAATATTTTATCCTTTCATATTCACTTGTTTTGTGAATAATTTAAGAACATTTCAGAAATTTCACAGTGTATTTAACCGTTATTATCCATGGGGTGTTATATTTTGAAAAAGCAGTAGCGGAAGTAAGCTTGTGTTTGTGTTGTGTTGCAATGTTGCTGCTGGACACATGGCACTTTTTAATTAAAGCTTCGAGCCACAACTAGGAAAAATGAGTGGCAATTCAAATCAGAGAACTTTGTTCCAGACTTGGGGTGCCTCTGTGTCCCAAAACAAAGCTGCTCAACCGGTAAAAGATGCTAAAAAGACCGCTGGAGTACACAGACCAACTTCAAGCAACATCGCTCAGGTAGCTAAAACACATCCTCCTCGAAATGGTCTGGGGACAGACTTTGGTCAAGAAACCACGAATTCTTCAAGTGGCCTGGTAAGGACGGAGGACTTCATACTAGTGGACGAAGACGACGACGATGACTTGATGGTGGTCGCCGTTTATGAAGCAGAAAGGGGGCTGCAACTTGATAATGCTAACGTCTCTGAAAATGACAGCCATGTGAAGGGAGAGAACTCAGTCCTTTCTCCTACCCCATCAAGTGGGAAGACGTATCCAGACTTACCTGGGTTTGACAGCTCCTCAGCTAAAGTGTGGATCTATCCCACTAATTATCCTATTAGGGAGTATCAGTTGAAGATCTCGGAGGTTGCCCTGTTTCAGAACACACTTGTGTGTCTACCCACCGGTCTGGGGAAAACCTTCATAGCATCTGTGGTCATGTACAACTTCTACCGGTGGTATCCATCAGGGAAGATTGTGTTCATGGCGCCAACCAAACCTCTCGTGGCCCAACAGATAGAGGCCTGCTATAACGTGATGGGAATCCCTCAGGCGCACATGGCCGAGCTGACAGGTAACAAAACCATCACACAAAATCAGTTTGGCTCATGGACCTTGATGAAGCCCATATTAATGAAGCTGCGTTTACTGATTCTTAGGCAGCACAGCAGCAAAGCAGAGACAGGAGGTGTGGAGGTGCAAGCGTGTCTTCTTCCTCACCCCTCAGGTCATGGTGAACGACCTGTCCAGAGACACCTGCCCAGCCAAGCAGATCAAGTGTGTGGTGATCGATGAGGCTCACAAGGCCTTGGGCAACCATGCCTACTGCCAGGTACACCAAGCTGACCCAAATGAGTTCATGTTTCCCAGCCTTTGCTTGTGCCACACAATGTTATACTGTAATACTTAGATTCACCCCGGTTAAACCATTTCATGATAATGCTCATTTTCTGCTGTCATACAGAGTTTTGCATATTAACGTACTTTATCAAATATTTTAACAATGCAAATGTATAAGTGACGACAGAAAAAATAGCACCTGTTTCTATCCTCAGGTGATCAGGCAGCTTTGTAGCCAGACTCTGGAGTTCCGCATCCTGGCTCTCAGTGCCACCCCGGGAGGAGACGCCAAAGTGAGACCTGAGTTTACCTCAGTATGAGCAAATACGACCAGAAGAAAAAACGTCCACTCAACAAGTCTCTCTCCCTTTCTGTTGTGCTTGCAGTCGGTACAGTCTGTGATTTCCAATTTGCTCATCTCCCATATCGAGCTGCGTTCAGAGGAGAGTCCAGACATCAAGGCTCATTCGCACCAACGAAGTGTGGAGAAAGTTGTGGTTCCTCTTGGTGAGGCCCTCTCTGCTGAGCAGGCACGCTACCTGCAGGTAGGCACTTCCAGTGATATGCTACATACCCCATTTCCTCCATTAGGTCTGATTACTGATTTCCTGAATGAGATTAAGCTGTGGTAGATTTCTGATTGACTTGAATTATAAAACCTTTCATAAGCCCTCTAAGAGATATAAATTAATAATCAAAGACTGGGAAGTGGAGTATTTTCCTTCTATTTTCCAGCCTCCTGAATTAATCTCTATTTTTCTTTGCTGAAATCTGAAAGGTTACTTTTATACTTAAACTCTATCACTGTGCTTGGTTCATTTATTCTCTGGACATATGTTTAGTGCTTTGCTGCCACCTTGTGGCATTATTAGCCTGCCTCTGTTATACAAATCTGCTAAGATGTAGTTCTCCTCTCAGCATCACATCTTTTTCCTGGCTGATTAGTTCTTTCTGGGTCAGTTGATATCAAAAGGATTGATTTGTCTTGAAAGCATCATCCTGCCACACTTGGTGGTCGAGCTTTTAGTGTTGTTAGACTGAAAGTTTGAGCATTATTAGCGAGCCCTACCTGCTGTCTCCCTGTCACGGGTCAGCTCACCGTCTGTGTGCACTGTTGTGTAAATGTGCAGCTCCAATTCTTTTGTTTCAGCCGGATGCACAGGTGGAACGTGACACCTGTATTTGAGGGTTTTCACTTAATTTGCTCCAGCTTTGTGAGGACTTCCGTTTCTTAATTTCAAGCCGCTCCAATTCTCTTTTTATACCAGTAACTATAGTATCTCCCTTTTCTCTTTTTTCTCTTACTTTCTAACTCTCATCATTATTACCCCTGATTGGAGGATGTTTGCAAATTGCCTGTTCACATCCATCTCTCTTAGAAAAAATGAGGGAACACTGTTAACTGTAACATGAGCATTAAAGCAGTCATGCAGGCAGAATTAATCCCTTTTTATTGCAAATCAGAAAAATGAACCAGTCATGCAGACAGAGGGTTTTCAGTCTTTTGGATTTTGACCAATTTAGTTCCATCGCTGCACATATTCATCTCTGTTACCCCTGAAGTAGCTTAATTTTAAAGAAACTGCATTGTGGTTTTTATTAAGCATTGGATGGAAGCTTTACAGACAGAGGGTGTATTGTACGTGAACATCTAGGCCACTGTGGTGGAGCTGTGCTGGGTAATTGGTCACAGGGTTTACACTTTTAATGCTGAGGTGGAAAGTTTTTTTTGGTGTATTGAGTTGTTTGAAAACACTTTTCACTCCCGGACTTTGACGATATTATCCATAATGTTAACTTATGTTTTTAATGTAAAGCTGGCAAAGCTTCAATTACAGTTGTTCTACACAGCGAGTTGCACCTTGGTCTGTCTCCCTGTGTTGGTGTCCCTGTTGTGAGGGCTTATTGTGTTACTATGCTCCAGTAACTCGGCACCAGCTCCTGTTGTGAGGTAGATTATGTTATACATTTCCAAACGGGGTCGGGTGTGTTGTCTTGGTTCTATCCCATAAAAGGAAGGTGTAGTGTTTGGGGAGTTTTCTGTATAGAGAATGGGTTCTGGAAACAGACGGCAGAGCCTCATTTCTGCTGTCACGTTGAACATAAAGGTGAAATGCTTCCTTCATTTTTCATTTGCTCCGTGGTGTGTTTGTGGTTCTATGGCCAAAATGTGTAGTGTAAATGGGTCCAGGGAAACGCGATTCAGGCTCATTTCAAAAGACAGGAGACAAGTACATTTTTATTGAACAAAGAAAACCACAGTAGCATTTGTTTGTTGCACTTGAATTTTCACAGTACATCACACTTTTGCAAAATACTAAAATTTACAAAAAAGAAAAGAAGAAGGAGGGGGAAACAAAGTAATTGCCAGGCTTTTAAAGGGAAAACCAACCTAAGAGTTCTGGCTTTGCAAGCGTTTACACGCTTCAAAGCGACTATTGTTTAATTTAAAATATATTCTTTGGACTTGGATGTTGTTTTGTCATCCAACTGCTTTAAATTATGAGTTGACAATCTCCCAACTCAATAAAACATTAGGAAAATATCTTGAAAAAATTTGAGGACTTTCTTTGACTTGGTGGTGAATTTTCTTATCATTAATTTCCACACATTAAAGAAGTGTCTCAGAGACCCTCCTGTCCTGGTAAACATCTTCACACAGTGATGATTTTACCTTGTTAACTTCCAGTTATATTTCACTGGCTAACCCAGCAGTGCGTATGGGGAAAATCCCAACAGCGCTGTCAACTCCAGGCGTAGCTGGCATCGCCACCTTGTTTTGGATGGATTGCAATCATACATTTATGTTCAAAGTATATTTAAACAATCACACATCCTGTCTGAGTTACTAAATTCTTCATCTGCGATGATAAAACTAACAACATTAGAAAAAAAAAGAGATTTAAACGCGACAACCACTGTCGATGTTCTCTGTGCACTATTTATTTTTTTAGGTCTGCATTGTCCCTACTCAGCAGCAGTCGTGTTTGCAGTACATTAGTGAATGCTAACTAACACTGACACAGAGTAGCAAGTAGAAAAAGCATGACATAGAGGTACACTGGTAAATACTGTGTGAACAAGTGTTGAAACATGAGGAATGCATTACTTTGCACCACTCTGTAGAGCATTTCTAACATCTACTGTACTGTTTGATTGTCTTTCAGCAGTGTAATCAGTGATTTGTAATCAGCATTTGGTTTGTAGAAGTGCGATGCATCGTAGCTTTACATTCATTTGCAAGTACATGAACGTAACGTGTTCATAGATGCTTGTTTCCTAAATTAGCATCACCTGTTGTGCTGCACCTATCTATGTTCTAGGCCACTACCTCTGGTGTGGGTACTGAGAACTGGACTGTAAATCGTCCTGTATACATCCTTTCCTTGCCCTACATCCCCAGCAACTAAAAACACCCACTGACTGGATTGGGCTGGCGGCCCAGAAACTGGCGTCTTGATTATTGGTCTTTGCACTTCCTGTTGACAGAAAATATGCACCACGATGGGTATAGCCTGAAGTTTCAACCTGCAGCAAATCTTGAAAAAGAACTCCAGAGATAAATTACGAGTGGAGCCAAACCGAGCTGAATTCAGAATGATGGACCTCATGTGAGGAGACATTACGGCTGTGCGACAAACAAACCGAAGCACAGGAAAGCTGCATGTCCACTGAGAGTTTGTTTCCACCTGCTCGGACAGCCTGACAACGTGTTCACAGAGTGCGAACCGTCAAAACTACCTCAGTGTTTTAACGAGAGAGCACCGTGTTCAATAAGGGTTTCTATCCATATCAGAGCAGTGGGTGAAAACAGTGCTCCCCCACAGCATCTACTCTGTGTTCATGAGACTATGGCGGCAGTGGAAAGGTTCTCTTTTTTTCTAGAGGGTTAAAATTAAATGCAGATCCGTTCAAAATGAGCATGGAGGAAAGTCACAATAAAAGTCACAACAAGAAGGGTGGAGCTTCTTTTTTGTCTTTTCTACTTCTGTTAAAAATGAAAACTCGTGGAGTGTGCTGGGCTGGTGGTCGTTTCAGGTAGAGAAGTGGACTGAAGATGAAGTTGCACCTGAGGCTGTGGCTGAGCTGGGGCAGTGTTTAGAGTTTGTGAGGCTCAAAAGTCCGTGGCAGGGTGCTGCGCTGCTGTCAGCGTCGCTCCAGGAACCAGATCTCATTCTGACGGTTGCTGTGAGCTGGGTTGGTATAGCCGGCCACGATGAACGAGTCGTTGACACACACACCTGGAGACTCTAGCAGCTCGGCCATGGTGTTGATCTGGGTCATGATGGTCACTTCGTTGGTTGGACCAGTAAAGGGCCTGGAAGACAAAGGAAGTGAGTAACTATCGGGCCACAATTTTTTAAAGGAGGGAAAGTATGAATTCTGTTGGTTGCCACTGCACACATGTACTGTTGGATAGGAAGTTCTGACCTTGTGTAGACGGTGGTGGCAGGCCACACCTCTAAGACAATCTCATTGTCGGTAGGTTGTGGAGGCTGGGCCTGATGCTCAGCAGGGAGGTAGTACGCCACAGTGACATCATGGGAGATCAGGGAATGGTTTTCATCTGTGCGTACCACTGTCACAATGGGTAGAGTCATGCCAAGGTAGTCACCTAGAAGAAGAAAATACCAACATTTAATGAGATGAAGAACAAGGCACAGACTAAAAAAAACCTGGAGCCGCTCCTCTGTTTTGGACTCACCTACGGAGTTCTGCTGACAGATGTATCTCATTATCCTCATAAAACCATAGCAGATGCTCTGTTCATACGTTTCCTCACGCATGGTTATACAGGCCCAGTGGCCCTTTTCATATTGGCGTTTCTCATACAGCAGCTCCCCACACTGAAAAGGGAAACACACATATGTAACCCACAGCAGAAGAGGGACTGGAGTGCCAACTGAAGACTCCGCAGGAGAAAAAAAACTCAAGCCAGAAGTAATTTAGTTGTTATTTTGCAGGTTAAGTTGAACAAAGGTAGAATGCCAGAGCAAGGCGATGTTGGATCCACTTGCATTTATCCTGATGTAAGGATAAGATGCAGGAGAAATAAACCATTGTATTTGTAACATTACTCTTCCTTGGGATACTTTTATGACATTGATTTGTACTGTGTCCCCTGCGCGTTAGGGAGATGACCAACTGAGGTTGGCATTATGCTGATGTGCTTCCATTTTACACTAAAAGTGCTCTAAGAATAGGTTGCTACCACTGTCCTTTGTCTAACTGGAGTCTCAAGCCAAGTTCTAATGGACTAATTAACTCAAGTTAAACCAATTAGCTCTTATTATTTATATGGCCCCCAAAGGAGTTCAGCTTGGATGACCCGATCACTGTGCCGGAAATAAATAGCTGACCCATACGTACACAGGGGATTTTCTACATGACGGTGGATCAATTGTGACACTGTTCATGCTCTATTACTCATGTAAAAAGGCTTTATTTATTCATTTATTTATACCGTTTCTGCTCAATATATCAATAAGTCAAATCCTTGAAACATTTGACCTGTAATGTACACATATTGTCCATCTTGACTATTTTAATGTAAGCTCTATCCTGTTGAACACACAGGTTGCCAGACTTCAAAGAATGGGCAGCAAGTCTTTCATTTTCAGCCTTTCATTTTCAGTCCTTCAGACTCGGTAACAAATTTTCTATGTTTTGCCTTTTTACGTAGAGCCTGGAAATGTATTAAAAAAGACCAGGTTAAACAATCTGAGGGTGAAGAGATTGGATCTGACTTATACCTTCTCCTTGCGTGCGAGGAGTGTAAAAGGGACGTGTTCTCTGTGGCTGCGTCCTTGGTTGTTGCTGCTTAGCTGTTGAATGGGCTCCGCCATATCTGTCAAACAGACAAACGATGGTTGCAATGTTTGAACCAGTCTAAAATGATACTATGTGTTCAGTTAAAAAATCTTTATTAGATGGATTGTTTTAGGCTTGTACGTTTTAAGAAATTTGAATGAATCCTACAAGAAGGATTTTTTCACAATTCCCTTAAGCAAAGACATGATATTCCCCTCTTCCTTTTCACACGTCAGCTTTGCCCATCTCTGTATAACACCAACCTTTTTGAAGCAAAAGATTTAAAACTGTCAATTGACATGAGTGCTAAAACCATAATAGAATTATTTAAACCAAAGAGCTCCACAGGGGCAGTTCATCCCCAAACATCCTATGATGCCAGATTAAACATTGGCATGATGTTTAGTTGTTTAGCTATCAGGCACAGGGCACCCGTGGTGAACCCATCCCAGTCAGTCCCATAGAGGAGAACTGGGTCAGAGGGATGTTTTATATTTATTTGATCAATCATTTGACAAACAAAGCTGTGGGCTGCCATTGAGACAGACAGAGAGGATGCTACTTTTATCCAAGGATCAACGCATCAGCCCCAACTACTGAATGTTATCCACAAATATGTGAATAGGCTGCATCTGCACGCCACTGATCATGTGCGTTTCTGAGCGTTTTTATCAATGCAGAGCTTTTTCAAGCAGTTTCACTGCGACTCCTGGTCCGGGAAACCCAGATTCACAATTTTTCCTCTCAGAATTTTTCATAAAACCATAAGTATTCTTTCTTTAAAATCCCTTTCTTGTATGTTTTTAACCAGCATCACATTTTGCTCAAACACCAAGTCTTTGTATATTTTTGTGGGTTTTTTCACATTCAGCAGCACAACACACTCCACACACAGTTTTCACACCGCTGCTCCATTTAAACTTACACACGTTCATGTTAAAAATAATTTGATTTTCTTTACTTCCAGAAGATAGATCTTCAAACGTTTTAGGAAAAACAGTGCTGTGTGTGTGCTAGTATTTGCATGTAATGTTTTCCTGTACAAAGTTAGTATTTGTTCATCAGGTGTTTGCCCAAGTGAAGTTAAAAAAAAGGAAACAATAAAAGTGCACAGAGCACTAAAAGTGGCCTGAATCTTTCAAACAATAAATTATGTCTTATTTACAACCTCCAAGACCTTCAAACATCCACGTGAGTTGTTGCTGTGACCTAATTTCACCAAGGAGTGACTAACAATGACCAACTTTGTCTCTGGCATACAAATTGCCAGTAAAATCAATTCACACACAAAAATTTGCAAAATATAGCAGAAGGCTTGAGGTGTGCTCTTTCAGCCGAAAATGTGAGGGGAGGGAATGCAAGACAGCGGATGTCTGGAGGCAGCACGTAATGCAGGAATTCTGTGGTGGAAATGGCTGTATTTTCGTCTCAACACAGTGAGAACAGCAGATGGGCCTCCTCGTTGTGTTGATGAGTCCTACAAACACATATGTGCTCCCTGACACACGGCCGCCAAAAGCTCCTAAATATTTCCTCGCGTGATATTGCGTTTTCTCATCTGCTGATGCTTGTAAGCTCTTACCACACATTCCATTCTAATAACACCGACACCTCCGATATCTTTGCACAGCTTGTGGTGAAAAGCAGGGGATTTTGTGAGAGAATCAGAGGCAGCAGAAAATGGCATTCGCACAACCTCAGAAAATTACTTGCTCCATCCTTACATGATCACATTCGGGTTTTTATTCAGGTATTATCTGGACAATATAAGCTGCACACTCTCGGATGTGATACACAAACGTGTGATTTCACATGCCTTCATCCTACGTGATGGCCAGAAAACACCAAGTCTTCAGTGCAAATGTAAAAAGAGGTTATGTTAAAGTTTATGGCAGAGCTTTGCCATCTGACTCCGTTCCAATAAGAGCAAAGGGGTTTACTGTGGCCTTGGCCTGTGTCCTTAGTGACAGTGTGGCGTGGCCACAACCTCAGTGCCAGCACCCACAAGGTGGTAGCTAATCCCCTCTGAGACAGAAAGTCTCAGCAAGTGATTTTGTTTTTAAGTCCTCAATTAGTGTCGTGGGTCTAAGGGCAGAGGGACGAGGATGTGCCAGTCTCACAGTTACTGGATCCTGAGTGGGCTGCCTCCATGCTTCTACAGACGTAACAAACAAGCAACAGGTGGCAACATGTAGAGGCTTCAAGTGAACCTGGATTATTGCTTCCATGTTAGACTGACACAGAGGCTGAGTATCATGTGGGTATAGCTAGCAGGGCGTTTCTAAGTCACCCCCCTTATTCTTTCAACAATAGCAATTGAAGGTAAAGGTTACTAAATATTGCTCCAGTTTTATGGTCAGATTGACAAAAGGACTGGATTGTTTGTATTGTAGCTGCATTGTTGTGCATTGTTGCTGCCCTAAAAACACATAAGTGTAGCTTCAATAGCAACCTGCGTCTACAGAAAAAACATATAGGCTTTTCACTTTCCAACCTCAACGAGCCAATCTGTCTTACTCATAAATAGATCAGGCGATATTTACATTGTCTTTCAACTGTGTCACCAACTTGAACAGATTTGTCATTTATCTTAAAGTTAAGAAGCTCCCATCATAAATATCCCTTTAAATGAAGCCGAACACAGTAAAGTTCTGGTTTACTGGGATGCTGTAGGACACTAAATTTTGTAAAGTAAATTTGATGTAATCAAAATGTGAGATCAGAAAATGAGATAAACTGCTATCTGAAGAGGAGTGGCACATGATGGTGTGCAGTACGTTTTTAGAAAATATGTCTGCATAGGCAAATTATTTAGTTAGAATTATGAGCAGGCCTGTAACATGTTGCACGGCAGCATTGCGTTTGAGTACAGGAATATGCTAAACAAACTAAGTGAGCAGACCTGTTGGACTGGTTGCCGCCTGTCATCCTGAAAGTAAATTACATCTCTTAAGAAATGCAGTAGGCTAGAAGAGACACTAGAGGGTTTGCTAATGTATGAAAAAAATTGATCAACAAGGTGTGTTTTGAAAACTAAACCATGAATTAAAATGGGGAAAGTTTGGGTTATTTCATCATATCCATTGTTCTGCCCTGTTTATCCAAGATCTGTGATTAGCTGGGATTTGGAAGGCACAGAGATCAAGACCACTATTGTTTTCTCCTGGCGAGCATAGCATCTGGCTGAAATCTAACACAAACAAGTAGTAATTAACGTTGAACTTACAGTAAAAATTCTAACAAAATTTGCAGCTTTTATCATGTCAGATGCTCTCAGTGAGATGAGTGAATGAAACCTTTATGTACCACAGCTAAATATTTGCAATATTTAGAGGCTAAAACAAAGCCCTGTAATACAAAACATGTAATACAAAGATATTATACAGAAAAGCGAGTGTTCAGACTCAAAGGTTGTAATTCAGCCTATGAACATTTCTCACCACATTCCAGAAACCTGCCATTAAATCATGCACACAAATACAACCAGCTTTATCACAGAAGGGAATGTTTTCATCTTTCTGTCCATTTGGTCATGTGATTAGGTAAACAAAGCATTAAGATCCCATTACTCCTCTTGTTGCTTTTCATTATAACAGTGCTGTTTCCGTGACCTAAAATTTACTGATATAGTTGTTTCCCATAGGAAACGAAAACATCATCTTGTGACTCTATAGTTTGCCTGACACCATATAACAATTTCCTAATCGATTGTTATTATTAATCTCATGCTCATCTTCAAAAACAGCCCTTAAGTGATACTTAAAAGTCCTATGGCCATAAAGTAGACTCAAAACTGTGCAATAAAACAATACCTTGGTGGTGTATAACAAACTATGAGGATAGGCGATCAATAAATATATTTTATTTTAATTGTTTAGTTTTTGCATTTACTGTTTAATTAATGAGTTATAGCACATGGTTGCCTGAAGCTTAGGGACTGTCCTGGCTGGAACTAGATGGTGGATGTGCCTTTTTAGAAACTAGGTCAGTGTACATAGTGGGAAGCCATGAGAAAGTTGAGTACCCTCACTTTTGTGGAACAATCCGTCTGTTTTTTTTTCCTTTCTTTAACTTGTCTGTACACTTCACGTGAAAGTTTATTCTCAAAAGAAGACGGTTAAACAAGTGTAAAGACTCTGAAGTTAACAATTGACGAGCCAAATAAACACTTTAGTTGTCGCGATATCTATGCTTTCCGTATTTATTTATTTTTTATCCACCGTTTACATTTTTACCTTGAGAAACTTCCACTTGGTGTCCCCTTGCTACCTCCTGCCAGTAATGTAGCAGTCGGTCGGAATTTTCGTCTTCCTCCATGGTTTCTCCTTCCTCTTCGAGACTGCCATTGCCCGAGTCTGATAGCTGGTCCTCGGAGAAAGACTCCAGGTCCTCCAGTGTGATCATCCCGTGTCGGTCGATGCCGCTGCCGTCGCCACCACCGCCGCCGCCGCCTCCACTCATCTGGCAGCCGCCTCGGTCCATTTCCCTTGCTGACACTAGGAAATGCCTTTCGACGAAAAGGGTCTGGATATGGTTGGCCTTAACTGCAAAAGACGAAACAAACTGACGAGTCGTTGCTGAATTGACGTTTCGTCCAAGTTCCAGTCTTCTTTTCGTACCGCGGTGTTCAGCTTGTCCGGATTAGGACAGCCACTATTTTTTTTTTTTTTTTTTGGTCTACAAACCAGGCACTGCTAACCTCTGCCCGACGCCAACAGCCATACTTGGGCTTACTGTCTCATATCTGACTTAAACGAGCCATGGTCGCGAGCTGGACACTTTTATATTGTCCGAAAACTAAGAAACCGTGAACGTCTCCCTCGCCCGTGCAGAGCCGCGTGACGCTGCGGAGCTGAAGGTGAATGCGTTGTTTATGAGGGCGGGCCGTGACGACACGTGACGCTGCGGGCCCCATGTTCCCGCCTCCTCGCGCTGGCCGACATAATAAATAACCGAAAGCCCCCTAACCTCGTCCAACAGGGGGTTGCGACGGCCTAAGTTTGCTACGTTGACAAAGTGTTTATTTGTCATGCGAGTGTCAAGAAAACCGTTTCCAAATTTGTCCCTTCCCCATATGTTCTTAATTTAATTGCCACGAGCAATTTGCCCGTTAGTATAGTACTTATGGAAATTAAAAACTCAACCCTTTCAAAATAAGATGTTTCAAATTGTTCACATTTTTTTTAACGCTATTTCTTATCACCGATATTTTTCAAGTGCTTGAAAATGTTTGAAAAAATAAGACGAAAAACAAACTTGAACTCGATCGCTAGGGGACAGCCGAGGCAGGATTTCTTCTGATCAGTGTCGCTCAACTGCCAGCCACCATGCTGTACCCTTCAGCCTGCACGTAGAGAGGACATTATATAATCCACTATAGTGCTCACACACACACACACGCACACACACACACACACTGTCAACACACTACAGGGTGTGGAACTTCACGTCCCCCTCCCTGGCTGTATCCACTACTACCGAGTTTCTATGTAATTACTTTCTAGTGTATTCATCATGAAGGGACACGGCCAATCCTGGAAAGCTCGGCAACAGCCTTGCAGCAACAGTGCCCTGATTTGGTTTCCCATTTAGGAGTTTGACATGAAAAGTGAGAGTTGTGCTTAGTGTAGGCGCTGCAATAGACAGGCTCATTCAGTCATTCCTGTTGGCATTTCGCTCAACGCCCCTTAGCCAATCAGCGACTTGGACACACTGAGCATGCTCAGAGAGGCTTCCGTTACCATTTCTTACCTGTCCTTTTCTGCTTGTTTTCAGTAAAAAAAAGAAAAAAAAGTTTAAAAAAAATAAGAAGCTTTACTGCTTTTTTAAAATTTCTTACTAAACCACTAATATAAAGTGCATGACAGCAAGTCTGTTTGAGTATAAGTCATTGTGGAAAATAAGTTGAACAAAGCAAAACAATGCTCTCTAATTACAGTAGTATTTTGCAGTTTTTTCTTTATATTTCCATCCTAATAGTTTCCAGAGTTTTGGAAAACACATAGGTGTGAAGGATTAATTAATAGCATAGTTTTAACAATGTATATAATAATATTTGTACTTAAGAATGAGTAACTTCTGTAATTAATGGTGTTAATAATGATATGGGATGTGTTTGTATTTCCAAAATATGTACATTGTGGGTTATGTATAAAAAAAAAAAATCTTTTTCATAGTACTTGTGGACAAAGGCTCTGAGTGAGTGCAAGTACACATGGTCTTTTAAAGGTATCTTGAAATGTTTGAATCAAAAGGAAGAAAATATGACAACTTTTCTAAAACTGTGAGAAAAAGGATCACTCAGTTTCCTCTCTGCACATTTAGTTGTTTCTCTTTACATTCCAGCCAGGAAAACACAGTGACCTCACTAATCTCAGTCTGTGTAATCTCATAATCTGAACCTGACCGCTGTGTACAGATTTCAACATTGAGCTCCACTTTTCTGTCCACCGACTTCGATAGAACAAGGAAAGGGGGCCTTAGCATTTCCACTCTCAGAGAGGGTAGAATTATTCCAGTTTATTCTCAGACCACTGAAAATTGACAGATTGCAGATGAAAATGTACATCTATGGTGAATAAGTGATGAGGAGGCAGGGGTTTATGTGCTAGCAGACATATATATGTCACAAAAATACAGAAAATTTGCTTGAGGGATTTTTTATTTTTCAAACTTCACTGACTGTCATCAGTGTCGGCTATACCTATTTTTTTACACTCTTGGTGCTTTACCAGCTCTGTGTTACTGGGAAGCACAAGCCTAACCAGATGGCCTGTCCTCCTTACAGTCATAACAGATCATTTACTAAAAGCTGTTTATGTTTTCTTAAAGGTCACTGGTATTAAGGGTTATTTAACCCTGTGTCTTTTTGTCTTCTTAAGCCACTTGAAGCTCAAATGAACATTTTATCTATGTTTGCACTTGTAAGGGGGCCATTTCTTTGTTTTCCAATGGTCCCCTGAATTTCAACCTCTTTTGGTTGGTGTGATAATTGCTGAGGTTGTTATAGGTTTGTTTGTAGAGACTGGCAGATTACAGAATACATGCAGTTCCTTTTTCCACTGACTCAGGAGCATGAAATAGTGGCTGCCGATCTTCTTTTAAAAAGATAATTTCTTTCTATTGAAAATGTGCAAATTATGTTACCCCGCAATCTTCCTCAATTTTGTTTTGTTGATTGTGACGTTTGAATACCTGGAAGCCAGTAAATGGCCTGTTACGGAACAGTTTTTCTCCAATGGGAAACCCACTTCTTGTTTTGGGTTGGTCTTTTGTTGTGTTCAGTTTATGGAGCAGCAGTTCCACACTCACAAAAATTGAAATTATTATCGCCCAACCTCTCATCATCTGCTGTTGTAAAGCTGAAAAGAGCATTTCCTTTTCTTCTCCCCATTATTTGGAAACGAGGACAGGGTAAAGGTCCAGCGCAGGTTAGTTCCATTAGGAAAGAACACTTTCATTAGTCTGCACAAGTCTTACTAAAAGGGGCGACTGTTGTTCACCTTAAAGTGGCTGAAAACGCTTTGTGCAGGACACTTTTTCTCCGCCTTGACCAGTAAATGTTCATGACCTTTCTTGCCAGGTGCTGGAGAAATTCATGTCCCGTCTCGTTCAGAACCGGGTGATGGCCCACAAGGACCTTCGGACTCTCAGCAAATACCAGCTCATCCTCGCAAGGGACCAGTTCCGGAAGAATCCTCCACCACACCTCAAGGCATGGACTTTTTTGGAAATATTAAACAAGACGTACAGCTTCTTATTATGCGTGTCACTGGCTTCTATGGAATTCAGAACCTCGAAAGTCATAATTTGTAATTGAATATAACGGTCTAGGGCTTAACAAAAGTTGGGCAATGTCCCATCTCAGATAGATGGTTACGCAAACCATATATACATCCTACTGGTAAACAGACAAACCAAGCAACAGCATCCTTCTCCACAGTCAGTGCTTCTTAATTTGGTCAAGACTGCATTCCGAGCCAGTTGTATTTCTCTCTGTTTGGCCACTAGATTCCCAATATTCAGTTTTTCTTTTTAACAGTACCCTTTAGTGAACATTATGATGATAGAACTTTACCACAATCATAGCTGGTGTTGAATTAACCTCATAGACTCGCATGCTGTCATGTTCTCTGCAGGGTCCACAGCAGGGTATGCTGGAAGGCGACTTTGCCCTTTGCATCAGCCTGTACCATGGCTACGAGTTGCTTATGCAGATGGGCCTCAGATCCCTCTTCTTTTACTTCCAGGGAATCATGGATGGATCCAGAGGTTGGTGTCCTTATCTTGGGGTTTTAACACGAATTTATTACCCTTTATCCATCGAGGGGCTATGTTAAATGAGTATTTCTTCTGCTCATGTTTGTATTTACATGCTGTAGCCTTCCATAGACCAGATTAGCTCCCCTGAATGTTTGTGTTCTCTGCAGTTTATACTGGTCGGATGCTTGCAGAAGCATGGGTCTGTTGTGATCATGGTTTGCTTTGTTTGTCTCAGACATGTCCAGGGCCAAGAACGAGCTGCAGAGGACACCGATGTTCATGGCTCTTTACCATGACATGAAGACAAAGTTTGCAAAGCCAGCCACTGGTATGTTATTTAATTCTCAACCATGTCACACAGATATGAGTCGCACACAGAATTTACCTTGAAGCATTTTTTTCTTTGTCGTGTCTTTATTTTTTTTAACGAAAAATGCAGTGCAAATATTATCTCTTTACATCAATCGATCAAGAAATGCTTTTATGCCATGACTATTTCCAGGTCCAGATGAGCCATTCATTTACAGCCACCCCAAACTGGAGAGACTGGAGGAGGTGGTGTTGCAACATTTCAGAGTGTGGGCAGAGAGCTCGGCAGACAATAATGGTGATTTTTCTTATTATAGCAGCACTATGGTGTGACTCATACATGGAATGATTGTTCTAGCTGAAAGCTGAAATGTATCAGTCTCTTCTAACTACAACAGAGGACGCAATCAAACATTACCCCATAGTGTTTAATTTAATGCTTACATCAACAAACATTATTGGAATTTTATTATGCAACGATATTGGCTTCTAAAAAAACCTGACGCCTCAGGCTCCATGAGGTGTTTGAAACTTTTATGGATTTGCGAAGCTCAGTTCAGTACTTGATCGAAAACTTTAAAACAGGAATAATCGTTTTTACTTTTAAATATTTTAGTGCGAATTAGAGAACAACGCATTCCAGCTCCTGAATTCAAATGCCTGCCGATCATCGGTGTGTTGTGGGAATTCAGCTCAGGGTTTCTGAAGGAATTTTTAATCAACCAGTTTCTCCCCTGTCTCATTAATGTCCCCATTAAGGACCTCAAGGAGAAAACACACGTGTGATGATTTTTTCCTCATTTCGGGAGAGTGTGCAGGAGATCGCTGCCATGTTGAACCGCCACTCGCCTCTGATCAGGGTCATGACTTTTATGGGCCAAGCCTCAGCTGGGAAGGGGGTGAAAGGCTTCACCCAAAAGGAACAACTAGAGGTGAAACGTCTTCTTCTTTTTGTATCAAACATGTTTCAACTCATTTTTAATCATTCTTACATGTTTTTTAAACGGATGGTATTTTAGATTAATATTGTCTTCCATGCTTGCCAAGCTGGAATCAATAATAATGAAAGTTGTGGAGTGGATAATATGTATTTAAAGGCTTTTAGTGATGCAAAGATAGAAAATGCTCAAGAGTCTAAGATGTGTCTTCTAAGGGAAGCTTGTTCAGCCCCATTTTGAAGTCCTTTCTCTCTGTCTTCCACGTGCACCGCAGGTGGTTCAGAGGTTTCGGCAGGGAGGCTTCAACACGCTGGTCTCGACGTGTGTGGGGGAAGAAGGGCTGGATATCGGAGAGGTGGACCTCATTGTGTGCTTTGATGCCCAGAAGAACCCAATCCGCCTCGTGCAGCGTATGGGACGCACTGGACGCAAGCGACAGGGACGCATTGTTGTCATTTTGGCTGAAGGAAAAGAGGAGAGGGTGTGTCTTCACCCTTACCCTGCATGCACTTAACACAGCTCATGCCAAACCACACGCAGCTCCAGAAAAATACCTAGTACCAAAGATTTTTGCCCTTGTTTTCCACAGACCTATAATCAAAGCCAGAGCAACAAGCGCAGTGTGTACAAGTCCATCACTGGCAACAACAGCAGCTTCCTCATGTACCCCAATAGTCCCCGCATGCTGCCGGATGGTGTCAACCCCACACTCCATAAGATGCACATCACCTGTGGCCAGTTTGACCACGGAGAGGGCAGCCGGAGGTCTGTCAGGGGTCGGAGGTCGCACTCTGAGGGACGTGCTTCACTCATCCATCCTCAGAACCTGAGTGAGTGACAAGGCAGTAGTAGAATTCTGTCGTGATAATGTTAACATGGTGTTCTGAGTCAGTGTGTGTGTGTTTACTGTTGCAGTTCAGCAGGGTTGCACAAAATCGGATGGCTTCCTGAGCAGTGCAGAATATTCTGTGTGGGCATCCACTATGAAGCTGGAAGAGCATGAAACTCATCCAACATTTAAGAACTCACACTTTGTGTCGATTCCCCACCAAGAAGAACACAGGGTTCAGGAGAAGAATCCCAAAAACAGACCACAAAGCAGAGAGCTCTCTTTGTGGGAATGGAGACACTGGCAGCACAAAGCACTTCCCTTCCATGCTGTCGATCATTCTCTCCGCTGCAACCATTTTATTAAAGTGATGGAGCTCATAGACGGCATGAAAGAGGAAAATGAGGTAAGCAAAGGAAAAAGAAGTATGTAAATGTTTATTTTGTTTTGTGACCTTATTGAAAAAGGATCCCTGGTTCTCACAGTGCTGCTTTCCTTGTGGAAAATCTTTGCAGCATTCAAATGAGTTTTTTGCTCCTTAACCTTTTAAAAACATTTTCCACTTTAACTTTACCACACCAATTTGGTGAATTTTTCTATCCGCCCTTTACTCGTTGTTTTTACAGGACAGGCACAACACCACAGAGGGTGACCACTTTTTCAAGGCTCTGCGCACCAAGAGTGGTCAGGCTGGTGAGAAAACGGTTTCATAAAGTGATTCCAAACATCTTGCATAAATCCAGCATGGTTTCATAATAGAAAAACAGTAGAGTGCATTTACCCGAAGGAAAACCAAAATTTCTAGACGCACCAGGCTGAGGGGAGTCAGCTGAGTTGCTTGTGAACATACAACTGTGGTTTGTCTGGCTTCTCTAAATTTGTAGTTTTGACGTAGAACACAAATTCCTTGCATGATAAAGAGGCTCCATCAAGGCATTAGGTCAAGAAAATCATCAACAGTGTTTCCACACTGGGATCTTCTCCCATCTTAACTCAAGTTTAAGAAAAAAGAAATCGGAATATCTGATTTAAGGAAAAAGAGAAAGATAAAAAAACATTAAAGATGCTTTATTGGTCATAACTTTGAACTCTTCTGTGAACTTGAATATATCAAGGCAGGGGCATATGCTTCTGATTGCTCATCCTACTGATAGTATATCAGTGAGCTTACACTAAAACTACTTAGTTGAATAAATTAAACTTACAAGTTCTATTTTTTCCAATTTTTTTGTTTTGTTCGGGGAGTGTTGGCTGCTTGATACGTGATTCTAGCTGCTAGTTGGTAGTGAACTCACTGACCTGGTAGCTTGATCAGTTTCATAGAAAGGCTATCAGATCTGTTAGTCACATAACAGTTTTCATAATGTTTAATGCAGACAGTATCTGAAGCAGTCTCAGCAACAGTCTCAAACGACAGACTGTTTTTTAAATTTGATTTAATAATCAGTATCGGTCATGTAATGTAACAACACAGTTATTCAATTGCCGTCCTCCTGACCTTGCCTACATGTATCCAGAATCCTCCCAATATGTTCCTTATCACCATGTTTTCATATAAAAGAAAATAATGCTATAGTCTTCCTCTTCTCAACATCTGCCTTTTCATAAGCCTACCATAGATAAAGGCTCCTGAACCACTCTAAAAACTTAAAATTGGGTCAGAGATTATGATAAAGTGGGCTCTTATTACCTTGTTTTTCCATCGCTGAGGCTGCTCATCGTACGCAGGATGGAGAAAATGATCCCACCTGTATAAACAGAGGGGGATCAATGCATGAATAGCAGTTGATGTCTCAAAAAATACGACTGATGAATTTAGGTCATGAATAAAAAAATTAATAAAACCAAGCAATACAACTTTAATTCATTCATGCATTTCACTCTTGTGAGAAAGTGATCGAATTTAGTCTTAAATGGGAAAAAACTAACAAAATGAATAAATCCTGTTCCCGTTAAGGCCCGAAACAATAGATAAAACGGGTTCAGCGCTTGGCAGTACAGAGATGACATGAACACAACAATCACCAGACTTTATTTAAAAGGATAATAAGTATTTTATACTAAAATACTTTTTTATCTATGCTGGCTCATGGCTTTGTAATATAAAGCAAAATGGTTTCAAACAATGTTTTGAATTGTGATCTCTCAGCCTCCAGGCGCTCCAGGGCAGTTTCAGGTCTGGAAATGTCCATTAAAGGTTGGCGCTCTTCAGAAACACATACACACAATTATTTTGAGTCACTAGTGTTGCTTTAAATGGAATTTGGATGCATGTGCAAAGATGTTTTATTTACATAAAGTGGGTGCTTTAGATTGAGGAAAATAACCCTAAATGCACAAAACAAATACCCTGAACTAGTTAATAAATTAAATGGCAAATTCCTGGAGGGATCTGGAGCTGCTCCAAAGCCTGATCTGACTCACAAAATTGACTTAACACCTATTTTCCAATAAGCAGACTGTTTGAGAAGGAAATAAAACCTCCATGAAAACAGAGTTGGTGCAGAATTTATTCAACTTTTTCACCAAAAGTCAGTTTTAGAAACAGAAACAAAAGCAAACAACACATCGTTTTTCTCTGATGACGCATATTTTAACAGCTGTCTATAAAGCATACCGCTAATCCAATAATATGTTCTTGCTTTTTTCTTAAATTAGAACTTATGAGCAGATTTACAACTGTTTTCGTAGAATTTGCTCTTCCCATACAACATCTACACTAAAGTGCGCACAAACGTGTCCATCTTTCAGTGCATTAGCAGCCTCTCCCTCTGTGTTTGGCTTTTCTAATTCTGCGATGGAACCTCCTGACCTTTCACTTTTTCTGATCTCCCCCTCAGACATCAGAGGCAGAACAAAAATGACATCTCCAAAGAATTGAAACAAATAAAGATCCCAACATCGGTTTCCTTTTAACTCCGTGCCTCACCGTGCTCTTTTAAACCCCATGCCAACCCAGATAACTTTATACCCATTTTTTTCCACTTTTTTTAATCGCACACTTTTCAGCGATGAAGCGCGGGGCAAGCACCCAGGCCTTCTTGCCCGTGATTATGTAACGTTTCTCTGAACCGTTACATAAAGCCAGGAAACTGGAAGTAGGTCAGGCTGGGATGACCTAGATGAATAGTGGCCCGGACTGAAAACTGTGGAGGGAAGATGACAAAAAAAACAAACAACAACAAATAATAACATATGGAGGGACAACATTCTAATAGTTCATAAGAACTGAGATGTTGTCCTAACAAAACGAGTTCTCATTTCCACAAAGCCGATATTCCATGTGGCTGTGTTTGAATTAGCTTGTGTTAACGTGTCATCGTGTCAATATTTTTGCGTGCCACGTATCTGCCAGCCATCAAATTAGTTTCCAGATGCTTTATTTTATATCTGTGAATTGTTGTCCCGGGGCCAAAAAAAGCTAAAAGTCTGTTTGTTTGCTGCCAACGCTATATCTGGGATTTAGGCCCCCCAGGCAGGGTTTAGCAACCTTTAAAGTTGTGCAGTTGTTCGTCAGACATAAAAATAGTTCTTTAAAAAAGAGACTCCAGCAATTTTGGCAAACAAGTTCACGCTGGACGATTTATACATGTGATGCATTCTTTGTGTGTTCTCATGTGCATCAAATTCATATGATTGTAGCTGTGCAATGAGTTAATTACCAGAGAGGAGTTTCCACTTTGCTGCTTTCTTTGTCCTGCAGACTGAACTGTGTGACCGTGCTCTCCTTTGCAGCTCTCCCTCTTCTAATCATCACGCCTTTTTTGATCTGCGATATCTTTAGATCTACAGGCATAATCTGATCATTTATTAATTGTGCGGTTAATCCGATTTGAATACAATTCTGTCAGAAATTCAGTTTCCCCATACATGGGTTACCCTCTTTCTGGCTTGGTCTTAGAGCAACCCATGGGTCCAATCAATATACTGGAGGATTACAGAGTGCTTCCGCTCCATAGTAGATGGATCTAAGGAGGACCAGGGCATTGAATCTGGTACACAAAAGCCTATTAAAGCATCCTAATTAGTCAAATCAATGGAACAGAGAAGAAACAAAGGTTAAATCTGATTATAAACAACAATACTCCTGTCCTGGCTGACCTCCCCCTGATGGGTCCCTGTGCGGCCCACCTGATCTGGTCCTGGTCCTTATCTGCTCTGAAGCTCTGGTGGTTTGGACTTAAGTCCTGATACTCACTTGTATTCTTCATTACTTATTATTTTTGCCATCCTTGGAAGTACCTCTCAACATTTGGCCTTCAGTAAAAACAGCAAAGTACAAAAATGTTAATAACAGATTGCAACGACTGCAAGCAGCTCAGTGGATGGCGGCCAGCTTGTTTGTCTAGTTAAAGGATTAAAGGAGGGAGGATAATAAACAATAAACGTTACAAACATACATGTCTTAGTCTGAAAAAGAACATCTTGCAGATTTGTGTAGTTATTAACTGCATTTTGATTGTTAAAGAGACAGCAGTTTTTCTTGAACACATAGATTAGTGAGAACAAATTCGAGTGGCAATGGATCTTACAAATCAGAGGAGTTTGTTTCACTAATGTGGCATTGTAGACAATAAAAAGAAACCTTGTTCTAAATCTAGACTGTGGAACAGCGAGCATGTGCCCCTCTAAGTATGGGCTTAGTAAGTCAAAAATAGTGTTCAGAATCAATCCATTTAATGCCTTGTAAGTGATTAAAACTTTTCAACTGTATTATGGAGTAATTGGGGTAATGTGTTCTCCTATAGTTCAGAGCCTTGTGCGGGTATTTTGGTCTAGTGCCTTTTTTGGGCTGCGCTGAAAATAAACAGTTAAGTAACCAAAACAGAAATAATGGAAAGCTTGAGTAACTTTCACTTTCCAGTTGGTCACGCACAGAAAATAGATGGATTTTACACCTGTGAAGATGCACTTGCTTTTTTAGTGTGATGTTTTTTTGTTGTTTTGTGCTCATTGAGCTTCTTCCTCCTGCTGGTTGCCTGTTCCATGACACGATGTGATCTTGACAGGGTGCCACTTTAGAAGAATCACTTCCAGGCCACATGTCTGCCCATATGACAGATGTTAGATGATCACAACGTGAAGTTAAATCAGATTCTCGCTTATCCTGTCCCTGATTCAGATGTCTCTTTGTTGAACACTTCCTAATTCAGTTGTGAACATGAACATGAACCCCTGCTGAGGGATCATACATAACTTCCTGTGTGTGTGTGTGTGTGTGTGTGTGTGTGTGTGTGTGTGTGTGTGTGTGTGTGTGTGGGTGCGTCTTCTTGTTCAGGGGGAATGTCGCTATGAAGAGGAACTTCTTCCATACATCCACAAAGAGTACACGGAGAAAATCCGACTGACGAAACAGAAGGCCACAAAGACCCATGCCAAAAGCACCAACAGCAAACCTAAACCGTCTACCTCCTCTTGGACTGAGCTGGAAAATATGGAAGTGGGTCTAGAAGAGGAGAATCCCTGGACAGCGGGGTTAGATTTGGCATGGACCAAACAAAAACCCGTTCCTGAAGACAACGCTGAGGTGCCATGTGACACCATGGCAGATAACTCTAGACGTGTAGACAGCAGTGACAATGAAGACTGTGCCATTGTTAATGTCTCAAATGCAGATTATGCATGTGCAGATCCTCCCAATCCTGATGACATATCAGAGGCTAATGCTAACAGTGACGAGGACCTTGAAGTCGAGGCAATGTTCTACCTCCCCAAGTGGGAACGGACACCGCAGCCCCTGCTTGACAAAGCAGGGAAAAGTGAGAATCTGAAAGCCATCCTCTCCAATGTGGCTGAACTTCTCTCTCGCTCTCCACCTCCACTGGCTGACATTTTGGAGGTGGAACCTGCCGCACATTTACCTGCTGCTTTTTCTCCTCCGCATCATCAGCCATTTGTGGTCAGCTTTAATTTGAGTATAGAGGATGATGATGAAGACACGTCCGGTGGAGCTGGCAGTCCAGCCCCAGGCCCCGAGGCAGCACAACCTTCAACGAAAACAGAAGTCGGTACCAGCGAGCAGCCCGTCGGTACGGCTGCCAGCAGTCCTAGCTGGGATGAAGTTTTTGAGGACAATGATGATGATATCAGAGATGACAACGTGGAGACGAATTATGCCAGGTACAACTACTCCAACTACGAAGGAAACGGCGAAATAAAAAGCAACGAGGGCCTCGCTAGCAAAGAAAAAGACGTCAGCTGTAAAAGGAGGGATGAGTCTTTTCCTCAGCTGATAAATGATGGCAATGAAGAAGTCAGAGGTTCTCAGGACAGCATAGATCTGTTTGAAGACGACGAAGCCTTCCTTCAGATGACGATTCCGGACATCGCCACTCCCGAGGACAATGTCCCATCCAATACGTTCCCCGACGCTAAAGACACTGATAAGTACTCTGAAGAGTTAGCTCTGCCTGCTAACAACCCCACCCCGACAAACCCAAGCAGCACTGCACAGCCAGTCCACTGCACACGGGGGCTCAACGCAGTGTGCATGAAAGAGGTCCAAACCGAGCACAGAACTCATGCTCCAAATCCAAGAAGGGAGGACCAGGAGAGCCACAATATAACTGAGACCAAACTAAACTTGCATACGGTGGTGCAAAATGAACTCATCACGGATCATTCAAAGAAAGTTGCACCTCATTTCAATGTCTTTGACGTATCCGAGCAATTTGACACCAGCACCGACTTGTTTCCTGTCAATTTTGACCTCGGTTATTCACTGGAAGACTCTGACGATGAGACGGAAGCGGGTGCTGTCCCAGAACCCGGTGCACCGGCTGACCCTTACCCCTCGACTCCTTACAACAGACTGAACACTGAATCCAAGCTGTCCACTCCAGGGATTCCATCAGAGAGCGGGATACGGAAATGCAGGGTACTACTGTCTCCCATCACATCCACAGGAGTGAGGCGAACGCTCCTGCCTGGTCACGCCAGGCCTGCGTCCTCCAGCTGGAAGCGGAGACGACCAGAAAGTGGCAGTTCACTGCGGGAATCCGTTCATGTGGTGGACTCCCCTCCTCATCCCGGTGTGTTAAAAAGAATTATTATCATTTTTATGTCGGGGTTTCGGATCCTTAACATAGAATAGAATTTTTCCCTTTCTTTTGTTCTTTTGAAATGTTATTTATCTCTGTGCCTCCTCTTTTATCAGAGTGTAGCAGTAACAGTGAAGACGAGGTTGTTTTCCACAAAAGAAGACATCAAAACAAAGTTAACCCCCTGTCATCCCCAGAAATGGTGAGCAATTTTCAGTTCTGCGTCTTTTAAATGTCAAATGTTCATGATGACATTTTGAAAGTGAGCGGATTGATAGAATCGGAGGATTAAACATGTTTAAAAATAGCCTTTCTTTTCTACGTAGATTTTATAACAAAAATGTTGAACTTAAAGCTCAGTTGAAGCGTTACACAACACAAAATAGATAAAGATCATGTGTTCGTGAGCAAAAAAAAACAGCCAAGTCAAAAGATATCTGATTCAGTCGGACCTTTCTTCCTCTGTCATGTACAGTGCCTGCAGTTGTCATAGCAACCACTGTGCAGCAGTGAGGAAGCAGATTTACCTTCTTAGATGCATTAAGAAAATATGCCATGATTAAAAAAAACTAATCTAAACAAAAAAAAAACACACAAAAATACCCACTGTTGTGTATATACCCGTGTTTTGTTTCGAAACGGCTTTCTTATATTATCTGTTCTCCGGTCCAGGCTAAGATGGCCAGTGATGTGGACTCCCCAGTGGTAACGAAAAGGAAACGCACAAATGCTCTGAACACGGTGAGATTCTGCACTGATGCACACCCAGCTGCTCAGACTTCGCAACATGCTGCATGATCAAAATACTTTTTTATTCACTCACACGCAACAATAACATTATTAACCTGCCCGGTTTTGCATGTTTTTTATTTCACTGTGCCAGTCTGACGAAAGTCAAGAAGAAGCTGTTTCTGATGAGGATTTCCAGAATGAGTCCATGATCACGCGCAGAACCACAGCACCATACGCTAAGAGGAAAAGAGCCAAGCAGGCTAAACACAAGGTCTGTACAGCAGCAGATTCATCGTGCACGGTGCCCTAATGTCACCCTCCATCATTTCACCTACTCTGCATCCCATATTCACGTACACTTTGAAAAAAGGACATTTTCAACGGCCCATTTTCAGAATACTACATGTCCAAAAGGCCGCCACTTCCTGGACGAGGAGGCGCAGGTGTCAGATGATGAAAATGGAGCGGGCCTTTCATCTGATGAAGAGGACGGAGAAGACCAAAACCGGTCTCTCGACGGCTTTGTGGTTGACAACACGCACCTCTCGCAGGGACTGAATGGTAGCTTGCTCGATGTTCGGTGGACTTTTCAAGTCTATTTACCTCGGTCAGAGTATTTCGGGGACACAGCAGGCAGAGGGTGTCATGCTGTGACATTTACCTTTTGTGTCGCTGTCTGTGTTTCTCTAAATCAGACTCGGAGATGCAGGGGATCTACCTGAAGTCGGTGAGGAGCCCTGCTGTCCAGGGCAAATTCAAAATGTCATACCGAAACCATCACAACATGGACATTTTTTCACAGGTAGGAGCTTTTTGAAAAACATCTCACTTTTAATCTTTCATGCACATGACATGTAGTTCTTTCCAGCTTACTCTTATTATTTACAACCAGGTGCCTGAGATGGACGAGACGTATGCAGAGGACAGCTTTGTGGTCGGGAGCGATGTGGAGGAGCTGGAGAGCAATGAGGAAGAAGAGGCAGAAGATGTCGAACTAATCCCCGAGGCCTCTTTTGTGGATGGGAGGAGGCAGTACGCCACCAGGCGGCGTGTTTTCCTCCACAAAGCCAGAGCAGGCGACGGGACCAAGGCCGGAGTCAGGCCTCCACCAGAGCAGAGAGCGGGAGGGAAAAAAAAACGCACTCGGATCATACACATGAATGGCTCCAGCGAGGAGGAGACAGAAGATGCAAGCACAGAGGGGAGTGGCATCCCCTTGCGGCCGAACTCGGCACAACCGGACCCCAGTAAGCAGAGGGCCTTGTTTCCGGCTTCGGTGAGCATAGCATCGAAGGTGTCACTGTTGAGTAAAGCAGAGAGGAGCTCAGTGAGTGCAGAGCAACAAGCAGAGAGGTAAAGAAACCCTCAGATGTTAGGACACAACCAATCACCTAGCAACCATCTGAGCCCTATTTTCTTCCTCCTGCAGGTGTCGCCAGAGGCTTGAAAACCAACATCTCCTCTCTGAAGAGCTCGACTTTGCTGAGGCAGAGCAGCCCTTTCCCTCCAAGAAACCATCCCAGGTGGGACTCTGATTCTCCCCTTAAAAACAAATCAGTGCCGCTTTGAAATGACTATCCTGACATTCTTTCCCTTTCCTAAGCCGGTTTCGGGCACCTCCTCGGGGCCCCACCAGTCCGCCTCCCGGGATCGGACAGCCGGGGGGTCCCGCCCGGCTCCCGGGTCTGTGTGCATTCTGGCGGACAGCCGGTGCATCAGTAACGGCGTGGAGCTGATGAGCTGCCTCCGCCAGCGCCACGCCGCCACCGTCCACGTCTGCTCGCTGGACGGCAGCTACTTCATCGTCAGCAACCGCATGGCCGTGGAGAGGCACAGCCAGTCGGAGCTGGCGGCCTTGCAGAACCGGAAGCGGCTGGCCGACAGAGTCAACAGCCTGCAGGAGCTGTTTGAGCGAGTGTGTCTCATAGTGGAGAAAGACCGAACCAAGCCTGGTATTCTATTTTCACTCGTGCTTTTAAAATGAGGGATGACGAGAGGTACTCTAGCAGTCATTTTGATTGTTTTGCAAAATATCAAACCGTTGTCCTAAGAGTCAGCGTAAAGGCAAGTGGACGTTTCACCTCAGCTCAAAAGACTCCTTCAGTTCTAAACTGCCCGGGAAGGTTTACAGGAGACCCGCTCCTCTATTTTCTATTCAGAAAGCATGTTTTCTGTCCCCTCTCCTTAAGATAGAGGTGAAATTCTGAGTCCTGGCCTGAAGTGCTGGCTCTTTGGTTTCAGTCTCTCCTGTGTACTGGTCCTCACCCTCCCAAATAAGCAGGTTTGAGCTGAAGAGGCATTTTGGATGGGAAAAGAACTCCCATTGCCTTCACTCAGGTTCTCAGGATCACTGTGACCTGCATGACTGTGAATCCACACCGACATCAGACTGTTGGTTAAAGAACGTTTTAATGTTTTTGACCCTTCGAGGCTTGGACAGTCGATCTGATCTGAGCGTTTTCTGCTGTTGTTGAAGGCGAGGCCACGCGGCCGTTTCAGCGCACGCGTCTCTACGACAGCACCTTGGCAGCGCTGGTGCGTTTGGGGGTCCGCCTGCTGTGGAGCGACGGCGCCGAGGAGAGCGCCGGCTTGCTGGCGGATCTGGCCGGGCTGGAACAGCGCAAGGGTCAGGGCATCGCCGTGCCCCTGGAGGTCAAAGGGCAGCACAGCCAGCAGGCCCTGCAGCTGTACCTGAGCCTCCCCTCAGTCAGCTACGTCCACGCCCTAAACCTGAGCCACAACTTCAGCTCAATCTCTCAGATGATTGACAGGTAAGATTGAGGAGCTGTAATTTATTTTCGTAAATCCTTTGAACCTTCTCAGAGCTGTGTTTCGCACCCGCAGCCCGATTGAAGCCATTCAGAAAGCGGGCTGCATGAGTCGACCCAGAGCGGAGGAGATCTACCGCTTCCTGCGCTACTCCTGCGACTCCTTCCTCATGGACACATCAAAGACAGGAAAAACCAGCTAGCCCCCCCCCCCCTGCCTGAGGAAACACTGTAAGGAAAGCACAAGCTGAGAACAGATCATCCCTAAGGTTTTTTGTCCCGCGCACCTTTTTGTAATACCTGCCTCTATCTCTGTACGCTGCTTCAGCAGAAACAGAAACCCACTCGTTGCTATGTGACTGCACTTTGATACTGAACCTCAGGGAGTGAACAACCTCAGGATTTTTGTTCCTCCATCTTTTGCACAAAAGCTGAACCTCTCAAGTTATGCTGCATGAAGCTTTTGGGTTGGGTTTATGCAGTATTTTTTGGCTGGCTGCGTAGCACCGACTGTGATAGCCAGAGCTGTCAATCACTAACGTAAATAACTTATTAGTAAAATTATGTTATGTATGTTATTATGTAATCTTTTTTCACATCTGCAAGTGAAACCTCTCATTTCTTTTATGATCTAACACACTTTTGCACACAATGGTCAAACTGTCCCCCCCTGTCTTGATGGAGTAAAAACTGATACCCACCCACAACCTCTAGAGGGCATCCCTCTTTCTTTCTTTTCGGTCCTTGTTGAATGTACTTTCCCCTTTATTTATTCTCTATCTATCCCTTTGAGGCAACGAGGAGTGAAAACTTGTTCCTCTTATATTTAAGAAAAAAGCCACAAAAAACTGACTTTCAAAAACAATCATCTTTTATTTTAGCAGTCTCTACATGTAGATGTGCTACTTTAGTTCAAAGTATCAACAAGTACATAGGAAAAGCAACGATATACATTTAAAGCAAATAATTTTTTTAAACAAAAAAGGAATACAGATTAATCCATCACTCACCAGACATGAAGAAAAAAAACGGAGAGAAAAACACAAGGTTACAATAACAGTAAATCTCTAGACTACAGATTTCAGAATGAAAGAGAATTTGGAAAAAAAAGAACATCATTATGTCTTTGGACAACACTCACTCGCTGTAGTCTGACCTGTAGTCCCAGGTTAACCCTTTATCTGGATGAGCAGCCATCATGTTGTGCACAGGCTACATACAGAGATGGAAGTGGAAAGCCACTTGTGCTTTTGAATTTTTTCGATTTAAAACCAAAAAATGAAAAATAAAAACAATTCAATGTAGAAAAATTCAAATGTCCTTGATTTTGTGAAGCATAATGCAGCTAATGGCACAAATGACCTCTTCAAAGCATACAAAGGCTACAGGTGGTTGTGGAATCAGCAGTTGTGTTTCAATTCCAGAAACAATTACCATATTTGACTCTGGGCAGACTAAAGTTTTTCACAGGACTACTGTGATGTGGAACTCTGATTGACAATGTGGAGCCTGTTAAACATTGTGCACCACGAGTAAAGAAGACAGGAAGCAGGTCTAAAACACATTTTTGGATTTTAAAAATCCCACTTTTAACAAGCCAATGCGTTTCCTCAGCATTGTAAAAAACCTTGCATCAGTAGGAAAAACTAAATATAAAGTCACTGGATGTAAAGTCGGTCAAATGCATGTGTGGTTAATATAGCATAAGGTGCTTTCTTTTGATACAGTATGACAGCCACAACACTGCCTCAAATTTTACTTTAGTATGTGCTCAATATTTTACACAAATAACAGGATTCGGTAGTCGATTAAAACTTTAGACAGCAGCAGTAGTTTGGATCAAAATTGCAGCGACTTTTCATAGAAAAGTTGCGAATACATTCACAGTTAAACACAGTTAAATGTTCATTTACGTGGGCTATCTTTGGAACCCTCATCACTATGTGCCGAGTTGGAACAGAAGTGAATGGATGGGTTTCCAGCCAAAACGGATCTTTAATTTTCGTAGACTGGCTGGGGCAAAATAGACCATGATTGTGATTCAAACTTGCCCAACTTTTGTAAAAAAAAAAAAAAAAAAACTAACACACGAATGACTTGTGACCTGAACACAGCATCAAAGACAAAATGTTTCTTTGAATCCACATATAAGTGAAATATATAACTGTTAAGTTTCCTAAATTAAAAAAAAAAAGAAAGCTCAATATATTTACAAAACCATGCATTGTCAAAAAAACAGCAGCCATATGTACAAGAGCAGCTTTCATCTTGACACATATTTTCTTTAAATACCACGTGTGGTCTCTGAGCTGAGGCTCCACAGGCAGAGCGGTCTAACCCTAACCCGTTATGGACGCTGGTTAACAGATCATAGACCTGCAATTTCCCTCTAAACGGCGTGGACTGGCTGACACGCTGCCGCGCCGTGGCTCACATGCTCGGTTGCGTCTGTTGCTGCAGCGGCTGCAGCTGTACCGACTGCGACTCAGAGTTCTGAATGCTGCATTCTTCTCCCTCTCGCATGTACATCAAAAACAAAGTCACTGTGGCAAATGTGGTGGCATTGACCGGGAAAGCTCGGAGCAAAGTGGATGTGAGTCCGCGGGTGAAAACTCTCCAGCCCTCCTTCTTCAAACTCTGTCTGACACAGTCCATGATGCTGTTGTACTTGTTCACGCCGCCCACGCCGTCCGCCTGCAGACGGGACTTGATTACATCCACCGGATAAGTGGAGAGCCAGGAGGCGATCCCTGACATTCCCCCGGCAAACAGCAGCTTTGGGATCATGTAGGGGTCTTCTGGCTCACAGCCCAGTGATCGCGTCAGCGTGTCGTATGCCAGGAAGTACACGCCAAAGCCGGGCGTCTCGCGCACCAGCGTGGTCACCATGCCGCGGTTGATCCCTCTGAAGCCCTCCTTCCTGTAGATTCTCACCAGGCAGTCCAGGGAGTTCTTGTACACCTTCCTCTTGGACTTCTTCTCTCCGGTTCCTTGCATCTGCATGCGCGTCTTGGCCAGCTCCATCGGGCAGCAAATGACACACTGGATGGCTCCGGCAGAGGCTCCGGCCAGAAACTGGTTGAGTGGCGTGTCGCGGCCGAGATGCCTCATAGCGTTGCCTTGGACCCCAAAAACGATGGCGTTGATGAAGGTCAGGCCCATCATTGGAGAGCCGATGCCTTTGTACAGACCAAGCATCTAAAAGCAAAAAGAAGTCACTGGCACAAGTGTACAGTACTCCGTTTGGATTCATGTAGGCCAGGAGATTGAAAGCCTTGATGATTTTGCCTCAGTAAAGCATTTCCAAAAGTATGGACTGCCCTTCTTCTCAAGTGATTGATTCAGGGCACAACACATCTAGTCATCTCCAAATGAAAGGTTTCCGTTAGTGTCTGCACTGTAAAATGACCCGGAAAACTATGAAAATACTATTTGACCATGTGAAACAGCATAGATGCCAAGTATACTTCACTCGGCTTTAATGCCACGACGTCCAGAGCTTTATTTAGAACATGCCGGCATGAAGTTACTGACACTGGCCTAAAGACACTCCCCCACCTCCACCCCCTCCAACGGCCCAGGAATGTGCTGAATGATTCTTGTACTCTCAGATGGGACTGTAACCGGACCCTTTAATTAGCGTAGAGCCTATGATGTTTTGCACATCTGTTCTACACAATAAGGAGAGCTTACCGACTCCTGCCGGATGATTGACTGGAAGCAGTGTATTGTCCCACGGTACAGAGGTTTGTCCACATTTTGAACCTGAAGTCGCACCTGTAGATGACAGCAGGAACGTCAGAATCAAACGAGAGTATGACCAGGCCAAAGAACAACAACACACTGACTACACCAAATACTGTAAGACAGATTTACAGGCAAAGAAGCAGCCTTTCTTACAAGGTAAGAGAATAAACAAATACAACAGTTGGGAGAAGAACATTAACCGAGCATGAGATAGATTTTAAAGAAAAGCACAAAAAAAAAGTTTGATTTTTTTTCTTTCTTTCATTTTTATAGCTCAAAACAGGATGAGATAAAAAAAAAACCTTGACCATACTTACTTAGGTCACATTTCCGTGGAGAGGTTGTTTATTTCTCTCTCTCATCTACAACACAGTGACACTGTTGCTGTTAAAGACAGCCGCCCCCAGCCCCAAGCAGACACCGGCTCAGAGAGAAATGACATTAAAAGCAAGGTGTAAAAGAACTACAACCAAAGCATTTGCCATGTGTGTGCGTGCCTCTACACTGGATGCAACCAACAGTACAATGATGCCCCTCTTCCATTTAAAACCTTTTAGCCACACCAGTTAAAATAGAAAGTGAATGATTTGTTACAGTAGACAGCACACCCCATTGAGCTTTATAAGTAACTATCTTCAAGCTTCATCTTTCAGTGTTCACAGAAAACCTGTAATGGCTAAGCTTCAGTTGGACCAGCTTTGTTTAAATTATTACTTAAACAACCCACCGGCATAGTCGTTTTGGGAGTCTTCGGCTAACGAAAGCCAACGTCCCCTTTGGGACTCACGATAACGACCATTTCACTACGTTTGTGAGGAAACCGGTGCCCATTATCGTTTACTTCAACAAAAGTATTTACATGTGCCGTTTAAAATCTGTACGGAGGAAAAGAAAACAGAAATAAACCAATCCATAAACGTGGAATTAATCGACCCAATCCTAGTCAAGGGAACCACTGCGTCGGCTGTTATTTCTCTTCCCTCTGTTAGCTGTGTTTGCACTGAAACTTGTCATTCCCTAAAAAGAGTAAATAGCTAAAAAGGATGAGTAGACACCCACCTTTACAGTGTCAAAGGGATGTCCAACCAACACACCTGCAGCACCTGGAAAGAAGGAAGAGGAACAAAGAAGAGAATGACTGATGGTTTTGAAGATAATCTGTGCAATTGTTTGGTACTTCATCATTCACTGTGAATCCTATTGTAGCAATCCAAACTACCCTTCTATTTTAGCCCATAATTAAAATGGTCAACTGTGTTTAATCAGGTTCTTAATTCCATTATTTCACAGCCCACAAAAAGAAGAGTGGAACCACAACTTAGGCCAATGACTCATGAATTTATGCCTAACCGTTGCAGGCCTCTGTGGGACGGAGCAAAATGCCAGCTGGTCACTGCACTGCGCCCTGTGACGGCAGCACCGCAGCGCCCCGTCCTTGACTCGTGTCAATGATCCCCAACTCTTTACCAGCTGTCACTTGTGATCTCAAATGGCCAAAAACAGTCTTGTGCAATGTTTATGCATTTCAGCTAAAGCACAAAAACCTTGAAATGACAATAATTTATAGTTTTGTGATTTAAATAGTCTTTGCAATCTTTTGGGAAAAAGTCAAGCTGCACTTCTTTATACGTCAACCAACTATGTAAACATACCCTCCCTGATGCAAGCTGAGTCACCATTCCAGGTCAGCAGCTTGTTTAAGAGAGACACTTTCGAAGAGACACTTATTCATTCCAGGGTCTCTAATAATTTCTGAGGATAATCTACAGGGAGTTTCTCTGTGATTTACAGTTATTACCCATATATCACCCTGCAAAAAACAAACAAAAAAACAGAACAGCTGACCCAACTCCCAAGATTTAGAGGGGGGGGCTCTGCTGAATACAGATAAACCAGCCTTTCATCCAACAAGAAGGAATGAACCATGTTCCGCCTTGGGGGTCCAATTCTCCAAAGGGGAATAATTTTAGTTTTTATTTCCCTCGGGATTAATCAAGTATATTTTTTGTTATCCATCTGACAATTGATCTGAATGAGAGATAAACGGCTGAATCATAAAAGCACAAACGGTTGTTACTCATATCTTATCTCGGTTAATTATGTTTAAATACAGCATCAATTATGGCGAGACAGCGTGGAATGGGGAGGCATCACTTCCGTCTGTGGGGGAGCAGCAGGTGAGGAATTTTCCAAATTTGCATCCGGGTTTGATTTTTTTTTTAACATTCCTTGAGAAAGAGGACGGGTGCCGGTAAATTTTTTTTTTAAAAAAGTTTACAGCATATAGCCCGTTATGTAGCTCTTTCAGAGTGTTTATTACACTTGTTGGTCGACGGCAGTTAGAGAACTCGTCGCTGCCCGTGTGCACCCACACGGCGGAAAAAAAACCCGAAACGGCTAAATGCTAACGCTAGGAGTTGATGCTAACCGCCAATTTTCGACTTGCTCACACCACTTACCTCCTATACATCCAGCAGCGAAGTCCAATGCCATTCCCCCACAAATTCAACGGTTAGGAGGAGTCGAGCGAACTTACTGGCAGACTAAGTTAATTCAGAGGATTTTAGCTATGGGGTGGGCTATGGAGAGAGTTGTCTTGAGTCTAAGAGTCTTGTTTACACCCGGCTTGGTGTTCAGCCAGGCTTCTTGGAATATTAACGTTGCTGATACCACGCAAATGGAAGATAAAGAGCCTCGCCGGCCACTGAGGAGCACTTGAAATGGGAACTTGAGTAAAAGCCACTTATTCTGTGCCTTCGCTCCGTCTACGAGAGTCGCTCTTCCTGCCAAACCTTTCTATTTCTGTGCTGCAAGAGAAGGCGGAGGTTACGAGCAGAAAAGAAGCGTGTTTGCCCTTTTTAAGGTAGCCCAATAGGATTAGTGGTAAGCAGACAACTCCCCTAGCGGGTTCTGTACGCCCCTTGCGCCCATTGGCTGCCGCGGGTTAGGAGAGGGTTATAATTGTCCGGCTGATACTTCCACCGTCAAAACCAACAGTGTTATCACTTTGGTCCCCATCACCTTGAGTGAGTGTGTGTACTGGGAAACATAAACTGGGTGACCTGAATTCCGTGTCAACACGCCGGGCAAGGCCACACAATCAAGGAGAACTCCTCCAAAGAGTGTTTGGATTGGTCCCTCACTGTCTTCTGACTTAAACATCACTCAGAAAATTTGGACCATGCAGAAACAATCTGCAAGTACAAAGGTCTGTTAATTGGAACTGACATTGTTCAGTCAGTGGGGGCGAGCCTCAAGGTGACACTCGGGGGAATAAGTCACCCATGTACTGTATCGGCTTGTCCTTTACAAGGTGTGCTTTTCCAAACTTAGACTTGGTGAGCCGTGTCCCTCAGCTCCTCTGTTGTCTGACTGATTTGAAAATGATCAAAACCTATTAATTTCATAACTAAATGGAACAAAGACAATAAATACAATAATTAGAGTCTGTCCATTTTTTTTATGGACTGTAGTTTGAAAGGTTTGCATTCACTACATTTAGTTTATCGGTGGTGTGGCACCATCGCCTCACAGCATCTGGGTCCCCCCTGGGATCGGGTCCCCGGGGGACCAGGACCTTTCCGTGTGGAGTCTGCATGTTCTCCCTGTGTCTGCGTGGGTTCTCTCCAGGTTCTCTGGCTTCTGCCCACCGTCCAAAAACCTGCATGTTAGGTTGATTTGACAGTTCAAATTGCCCTTAGAAGTGACTGCAAGTGTGCGTCTTATTGTGTCTCTGTGTGGCCGTGCGATGGACTGGCGGACTGTCCAGGGTCCACCCTGCCTCTCCAGGCTCCAGTCCCCCCGCGACCCCATTTGGGAATAAGTGGTTCAGAAAATGGATGGATGGACATTTAGTTTATTAAGACTTTATAAAGAGCACTTATCTTTTTTTTTTTTTTTGCTGCATACCATTGTAAGTGCTCTAGCGTAACAATAGATAGAACAATTCGGAGCATTATTTTCATGAAAGCCCAAGTCATGCTTTCGTTTTTACCATTCGAACAACCGTTCACATTGTGATTATTAATCATTAACATGATGTAGCAGTTTGTATCGTTATTAGTTAAATCAAACTTTTACCTTTTTTCAACTCACTTTTTGATACATATTAGTTAATTTTGCTGATCACAGTAACACCTGCTTGTATCTCTTACACCTGTAAGGGATACAGAATATCATCACACCACCAATCTTTAAAAGCAGAAAAAACTTGCATGGCAGACTGCTTTGAATACATTTCTGTACACCATTTTAATGGTCTTACAAGACTGAAAGATCTCAAACTAGATATAAAAAAAATGTGTACATGCGGAGTGAAGTCAACAGTTAGCATGAAGGCATGGTGACGCTATGCTTTAATTTAGCTTCACACAGAGAATCGGGTGATCCTTCCAGTGACTCCACCCATTCCTACCTACAAGGACTTTGTAATGGAAAAGCTAGACATGATGAGCCGGGACTTCTGATCCTCACGAGAGCTACAATTTAAAATTCAACGGTCTGGGTGTCATGAACTGCTGCACCATCTCTTCTGTGACTAGTTTGCGCCTCTCTTGATGTTGTGCAATCATGGGCTGCAGAGTCTCAATCAAAATCTTCTTCAGTTCTCCTGTTAGGAGGGCTCCACTCGCGTAGTCCTTCACAGAGACATTTGGAGGAGAGTTAAAGAGAAGGATTAGTAAGCAGAGAGGAATGATAAACAACTCAAGATAATCATTTCAAGGACAGATAGAGAAGGCACGCGCACAAATATGACAGAAAAACCCAGAGAAAAGAAAAAACAATCTATGCTGCTGTCTGTGCTCTTCTTCACCTGTCTGATTTTCTCCAACTGCTCGTCATCCTCAAGGAAGAAGGTCAGATACATGAATGAGACATCAACGTCTGGGTTGCCGCCGTGCTTCCGGTGCTCCTCCACTGTGTCTTTTCCACCCGAAAATGCGTGTTTGTTGACCTGAGGGACCATGAAAAAACAAAACAAAAAAAACAAATCGCTGAGGAAAATGGGCCTCTGCTGAGCTGGAGCTTGTGACCAGATGTGTGAGGTAAAAGCAGCACCTTGTTCTTAATCTGTTTGGGCGTGTCGGTCAGGAAGATGGAGGAGTTGGCGTCACTGGCGCTCATCTTGGTCTGCGCCCCCTGCAGGGCGGGGAAGAAGGTGGAGTGCAACAGCGCTGGTTTGGGATAACCAATCCGTGGAGCCACGTCGCGTGTCATTCTGAAATAGGGGTCCTTTTTGGAGTGACAAACACAGGAGCACAGATTAATGTGCTGGGACGACCGCCATGTGCCGCTGCCACATTCTTGTTCTCCTGACCTGGTCTATGGCACACGGGATGAGACACTGCACGTCTTTTCTTCCACCAAAAATCTGTGGGAAAGAATTACTGAAGGATGGGGCTGCCTGGATGGCGGGGAAGCTGATTTTACCTGGATGGACAAGACAATAAATACACAGAGATCTGAACTCTAATATGGGAAATGTGATTCAAAATGCTTTCTTAAGAGGAAAATCTTTTAGTGGCCTTACCTATGCAGTCACTGTCTGTAAAGCCAAAGATGCCTTTAACCTGATTAAATGTAACGTGCTTCTGGATCTTTACCACGTTCCTGTAGAATTCAGGGGACGCACTGTGAAAAGTTAATGAAAATGACAACATTAAAAAAAGACATCTACATTAAGAGGCTCTATTTGATTATAAGACATCATGTGAATTATTTCTTTCAGTTCCAGAGGAACATATTTCTTCTCTTATTCTTGACACACTCTAAAAAAGATGTCCAAAATGGGCCAATCTGGCCTACTTTCCAACTAGCCCTCCAACCTTAGCTGTGACTCAGATTCAATCATTCACTCTGCCGTGCTCATTCTGAATGCAAGTCTTTAACTCCACACAGTACTTTGAAAAGCAGAGATGGAGGAGGCTATAGGGGTATTTTGTACAACTAGCGGCCAAAGTAATTACGCTTGACTCTTTAAAGCCCCAGCAGGCACCATTTCTGATTCAGAGAATAAGAGAATTTTTCTTTTCATACGTCTCTGAAAAGACCTTTCATTTACACAGCAGCCTAAGAATTCCGAGCAGTGAGGTCTACGTCTTTGTGTCTGATTTTACCCCATGTAATCGAGGTCAGAGAAGATAAAGGTCTTGTTAACGTCAAAGCCGCAGGCGATGATGTCCTTGGCGTTTTCCACTGCAAAGCGGTGGCATTCTTCTAGTGTAAGATCCTTCCACAGGTACTTTTCATCATCAGTCAACTGGATGACCAAAGGGATATCAAACACATCTTGAAGCCATCTGGAGTGGAAAAGAGATGTTTAGTTGTAACAAATAATGTAGTAGTAGTTTGATTGATGAAGCTTGACATGTTCTGATAAAAATCACTGATAGAAATATAGATTACAGTACATAAGCGCTTTAATCAGACTGAGAAGGACATATCTTCAGTGTGATGGCTCTGAATTTATGAACCATAAAGAGCAGGGCTCACTTGGTAAAGATGAAAGGGATGAGGTGACCGACGTGCATGGCTTCTGATGATGGTCCCCTGCCCGTGTAAAGGTAGAAAGACTTGTGCTTCTCATATGCGTCCAGTACCTGATGCATGTCTCTGCCAGACACAGAGAAAGGGGAATTATTGATGCCACAGTCCCCTGCAAACTCTCAATATTATCTTCAGCAGAAGAGTTCCCTGAATGATAAAGTGCATGTCAAAAGTTAAAACTGGACACTTGCATGGTGACCCTATATCACCCACACCTGTGTGAGAAGAAGATTCCTCTCCGCAGGAAACGATGAGGTTTCTGTCCCGAGACTTTTTCTACTCTGTCTACCAGCTCCTTGTCAATTTTGCTGCTGCCAAATCTCACTGAGGAAAGACAAAATAAACGATACTCATCACCCGGCTGAAAACGCTCCCTCAGACAAGACTTGAGGCGCACTTGAGTCTCACCTATAAGTTTGTCGTAGTCTACTCCTTTGGCGTTGGTGGTGGCGACATTCCAGGGGTCCACTGTGTCCTCTCCATCGGCACCGTCTAAAGCTGGCCCGTTGTCGCTGGCGACTACGTTTTCTGATGGCGGACATCCAGCTTTATAATCCTGACCTGTCACCTGTTTGTAGTCAGTTTTTAGCTTCAGCAGCAGCTGGACGGCAGCATCAATTTCAGTCTGGAAAGCCAAAATATTTGCATTAGACAACACACATGCTGGTCATTATTACAAATGAGCTGCTATACACACATAGAGCTTATTCTAATTAAATACCAGTGGCGGACCGTGCATTTCACACCTAGGCCTTCAGTAGTGCTCCGTCTAAATCAATTCACCCCTCAATAACTATTTTATGGTTATAAGAATCATCTTACTTGGTAGAAATACAGTATAAAGATCAGGGGTGCTTCTACTACTGCAGCTATAGCTACCATCAAATCAATTTCTTCTCCTCCTTCAGCCATTGTGGGGTGATAAAATAGCTATTACCCTAAGGCTGTTAACATATATTTCCTGACAACTATATTTTGGTTAGTTTGCTAGCTTTAGCTGGTACGCTATATGACTATCCAATCAACAGGTGTGAATACGGTGACGTTGCCTTACGCCTGCTAGAAGGCCCTGGTGTCACAAACTTAAAATCTGATAGGTTAAAGCAACAGTTTAATCGACATTGTCTGTTAGAGGGCCCGCACACATCTTTGACTTTGACCCTGCCTAGCAACAAATGATGGATAAAATGTAATTGGTTAAATGCTTTAATATAAAAATACATGTCTGGAAGCAGCGCAACCAGGGGAAAAGACCATTTGGAAATATTTGATAAGTATTCATGGACAAAATATAAATAACATCAGTTGGTGATTCAGATATTGAGGGCCCACAACTGTTAAACATATGTCATGTTTAGAGAATGTTTTCTCTCTGTTCTCTGTATGTGTCTTAACACGGTCGTAGTCTGTGAATTTTAACAGCTGTGCAAAGCAGGGAACACATGTTGACTTTATAAACATGCTTTTGCAATAAAACACAGTAAAATAAGTGAAGCCACTTACTTTTTCCGCTTTTGCCGTCTTCAAGGACCTGACTATGTCTCCCTGTGCGTTCAGTTTCTCATACAGCTCCATTGGACTATTGGATCCTTCTCCGTTGCCTTGACAGTCAGTCATTTCTTCACTGCAACCAGACAGCAGACGAGGAGAAGACCAACTGATCAAGTACTCATAATACCAGTGAGTGTAATATGTTCCGTTAAGACTTAACTGTACTGTATGGTATACCCTCTATTAACGTATATCTTCTTAAGCAGTTAAAAATATTGCCATATGTTAACAAATTACAGCTTACTTGGTAGAGCTAGCTAATCGCAACTTCCCTTTACCCTGATTTTACAACAGGTTGTCATATTCTATGAGTTGTATAACTACCACTATTAAATTAAGAAATATAATAAGCAACACTAGATAAGGTTAAAAAAACTGGCAAGTCAACATACCGTGTAAAAGTGCACAGTTGACAGCTCACTCATTCCACTTGCATCAGCCTGTATGAAACAGTGTTCGCATCAAATGTTACCCCAGAAAACAAGCTCGTTGAGCATGATTCCGCAATCAATCTATTTGTCCACACAAAACATGGAAACTTATTATTTTTAAATATTCATTACATAAGCCTATTCAGCCAAATACTGTCTATATTTTTCGGACACCCATAACTTTAAGTTGTTGTTAGATTCTTTAAAATATTTACTGGCGGAAGAGAGAGTCTGTTTGTCTTTTCCGACCAGCCGTTTTCAAAATAAAAGCTTTTGAAAAATGGACAGATCAAATTGACTGAGCTAATACTAGCATTAACTTTGTTCTGAAGTAGCATCTACTCAAATTATTTTGCGGGCTGCTGCATAAATTGTTGTACAAAACACACGGGTGAACGGGAGGCTTCTTCGGTCTGAAGGTACAAAGACAAAGGACAGAGTCCCTGTGTGGCTCTTTATCACAGGCAAGATCCTCATCTCAGACTGGAGGGAAAGGACCATCGTTAGCTAATGTCGCTATAAGGAAGCTTTGAAGACTCATATCGGATGTTATTAGTGTTGGAACAAGACAGCAAACATGCTCCTGATACGTCATTCGTTAGTAAATTGTAACGAATGACCTTACCCCAGGAAAAAAACATGATGTTGACTTTGTTAGCTTGTTATTACCCCCCGCCGCCGTCCTGCTTTGGGTGTGAGGGCTGGTAAACTTACCCACATCATGAATACCTACAGATTACTTATAGTTAACTCTAACAAGTTTGCTGGTTGTTGGATAAAATTAGACAATCCGATTACCTAAAATAGGCTGGATTACATTTAAAGCAACGTGGGAAAAGAGTGTGGTTCAGGTGACAAGGGATTTTTAGTTTACATGAAAGAGGTGGATTAGAGAAACCCTGTTCAGGTGCTTAATTTGCCCCCTATTAGAATGATAGGTCGGTATTATTTATTTCTATTTATGTAAAACACATTGATAAGCACTTTGGGATGCGTGGGTATAATGTTCCATTGGTTACTTGTGAAAATGAAAGCCAGAAAAGCTTACACAGTGCTTCAAGTTACTCCTTAAAGTCAAGCACATGGGATTTGTACTCAAAAATATACTACATTTTCAAGTAATGTTGTGTAATGTAGGTTTTAACTCAAAATGTAAAACCACTCGGAAATTCCATTATGCCCTTCTACTGTAGAAATGATGGGCCTTGTCTCTAATTATGTCATCTGCTCAATTTACACTGTTGATCTGCAAATGGATAATCTTCACCCTTTTTAAGTGATTGGAAGAAAACGTCCATGCACTTTTAAAAAAAAGTTCTACACTTCAGTATTTTACCATTGAAGTTTAGAAAATTCAAGTCCCCACTAGATGTCCCCCTTGTGCCTTTAATGAGTTTTCAGTCTTAAGAACTCCTATCCTTTTATTTTCAGTGTCTTGGGAAGATGTCCTCGCTGGTAGCCTATGATGACTCGGAGCCAGAGGATGGTTCCTTGGATCAAAAGGAGGATGAAGCACTAGCTCCTGCCCAAACTGTGCCCTCTGTGCATACCCAGGAAGCTGTGGGATGTGTCAGCTCTAAAGTAATGCCCATGCCTGCACATTTCGCCACTGGCCCTGCAGTTTTAGGAAATCATGAAGGTTTATGGGAAAGAAGCAGTTCTTCACTGCAGCTTTCGTCTCAGCCGTGTGCCAACTGGGAGAGAGAATATGCCTGCGGAAGTGAGGATAAAAATGTAAGAGACAGTGCATTTTCCCTGATTCTACCTGCACCTCAGGCTCCTCCTTGCATTCCAAAAAGCACCAGCGATGGGGTGAACTCAGCAAAGAGACAGCTAACGGTCCGGCCTGGTGTCAGACCGTACATCTCCAAAAGACAGAGACTCGCTTCTTCCTCAGAGAAAATGAATCCAAAGTACCCATCAGAAGATGTCCCAGGGAGTCTGAGCAGAGAAAGTCAACTTCTCAGTGATGTGTCAGCGAGAGTAAAAGCATATCTTTCTGAAAAGCCCCGAGCAGCAGGGATTCCCAGGAGGCTGCTAATGAGCCTGGGAGGCCACCAGGGACCAGTCAACAAAGCGCAGTGGTGCCCTGTGCCTCATCTCAGCCACCTGCTGCTCTCTGCCTCCATGGACAGAACTTTTCAGGTAATGACTAGCAGTAAAAAATAGCGCGACTGAGCTTTGGCGGCTATGAAAAGCAGAGCTCAGTGCTGTTGTTGCCATGGAGAACTATGTCAGGACCCCCTTTTTTTTTTAAAGTTGATAACGTAAGCTCAGGTGAGATCACGTAGCTGAATCAACCATTTCACCTTTTCATTTTTTGTTACGTCTATTATTGTGCATAAACTACCGTTTGTACTTTCCTCACAAGTCTGAACTTGAACAGGCTAGGGCACAAATCAATTTATCAGCGGATTCAGACAGGTTTAAAGTGCATGGAGTAGGTCTGAAGGTGTAATCATTTAACTGATGTTCAGTGTAATTGGACAAGTGTTACAGAGACATCATATTGGCTGTGCTCCCCCAGCTTCTAAATGGACCACAAACCACTTTCTCTAGCAACATATCTGTCACTGTCAGTTGAATGTGTGTCAGCACCCATGGGACGACCCCGTCTCCCTCTCTCCCTTTTCATTTGTCTCTCTTTGTCCGAGTCATTGTCCCGCTCCTTTTTCTTTATTTCACACCTGCAGAACAGTCCCTCATTCTCCAACCACAAAGGTCAAGCAGGGCTGTTATCTGCCTGCTGCTGCTGCCTAAATATTTAGCTGCCAGTGTGAAATCAGGTACCTCACTAGTGTCCTGTGAGAACTCTGGCTAATTAATGATTTAAATATGAATGAGTTCATTTGCATTATCATACAAGTGCAGCGGTGTGGGCGCTGCCTCGTCTGGCACCTGGAGAGGGCCGTTTGGAGCAGATGGTGCCCAGACTGGGAGAGGACAGGAGGCAGATGAACACTCGCACGCTGTTTGTGTGCATAGATTATCTCTTCTTCTCCATCTAGATTGTTGAAAACAGGGTCTCCAGTGAAAACATCAGTGCGAGGCGTCCATATTTTGTCCGTGGGTTGGATTTGTCAGTCCTCTGGTAGACTTTGGGCAGCCATCAGACGACACATCCAAACTGCCATTTCTACCACAGCAGTTAATAGGGTGAACTCCCTCTGTAGTGGCTAAATGTCCTTCTTGACTTTCTTCTCTTTGACGAATGCAAATAACCACTCTTTCAGACGGGAAGAACGAGTCTACGCGTATTAAGGTTTTAACGACGGTAGAAAACGGTGTATTCACCCCGTCTTTACTGAACATTCTAAACAGACAAAAAACGTCAGTTTACATTCAACAAAGCGCGAGCTCCGAACGTTATCGCTCAGCGTCAGTTTCTATTGGCTGTTTAGTGAAGATCATTTTAAACATTAAAATAAATTCAGATTAAACTAAAATCAATTATAAATTAGCAAAACAATAACTTAGTAAACTGCTATCATAAATATTCTATGAAAACATAGAACCAAAATCATCCAAAATAATAACTAAACATGAGCATAAATTACTCCATAGAAAATGGCACCAACACCCTCCATCTGCTCACTTCAAACATTTACACATACACACTGCTTTTCAGTGTGAAACAGCCATTAAATAGAAATATATTCATGCTTAGTAGTCTAAAACAATAACCGCTCATTTATTATTTTCATTTAATCTTTTTTGAACTGTCCCCTCAAAGTCGCAAAATGAAAACAAATGAATAGATACCGGTGTCTCCATAATAACGCCGAAAGGTTATCTGTTCAGATTCAGTTTTTAAAAGATTTTCTTATCCTTCCGCTCCTTTGCTGCAGCAGTTTCAAACAACGCCCTGAGTTTTCATCTACACAGATTTGACAAGTAAGCCGTAGATGAAACCGCTGATAAGAGACACAGACAGTAGGGAGAGAATTCGGGAGGGGTTTGCAAACGAGCAGGAGCCTGTGAACGTTGCTCTAAATGTGCCAGGCCGGTCTTAATATTTAAACCTAGCAATGATACATAGTAATATAGTCATGTTTTGTGGATCAGACTCAGCTATAAACAGACCCGTTGTTCGGCTAAACTGCTCCTGTGTTTAATGAGTTTGAGGCAAAAGAGAACTGTTTGTTCTCTTTCGGTGTATTTTTATATTATTTATTGCTGTATTACAAACTGTGAGGACGTGTTGTAACTAGGTGTTCTCCGCACCAAGGCTGCAACAAAGAACATAAAATCGTGTCCAACTTGTTGGTTTGGAGAAACTTGTAACCATAGTAACTGTGTGTAAGCTGCAAGCAGTCTCGGTATCTCACCGGTAGAATTAATGTTGTGATGTCTGAAGTGAATTTCAGGAAACTATTCATAACTGATCAGATATTGGGGATCGTAAACTGGATGGTTGCTTTTTATGTTTTAGTAAACATTCCCCATGTGCATTTTTCTGAGTTTGTTATGGTGAATGGTCACTTTTTAATATATTCAGAAAACCCCAAACAAAAGTATGGTCCCATCTAAAATAATTCACTCTAAAATAACATGTTAATCTTCTGGTTTGAGTCTCCCACTGATAGGCACAGTTGGGAAGTGTCAGTACAGGATGCAGAGAATCTCTGTAACCCTCCACAGGATTTTATTCAAGGTTGCTCTACTTTTTCAGGCCTTTTTCAGTGGACCACTATGTGAATCCCGTTATTCTTCCAACAGAGTCTGAAGCTATTCAGACGTCTCAATGTATTTATTTTATTTTCAACACTCAACAGCAACCTCGGGTTATCAAATGAAATTCTTGTGCCATGTGTTGAAAGCGTCTTAGCTGGAAAGATCTTTCATCGTTGGAACAAAGATATTAATATCTTTGGCAGTAGCATTCCAGATTTATTTATTTATTTTTTGCATTTTGTGATGCTGACTTATGTTTGTCCTACAAAAAGTAATACAAAAGTAAACAAAAAAACTCGGCTCCATTTTAGATATGTGTATTAAGCTACATGGACAGCATGTTCAGATTTTAAACATTTGTTGTTGTTTTTTTGCATTTTGTGTACAAGATGCCTTCGGAATTCGGTGCTTGAAATTGGTGTGTGCCAGGAAAGGTGCAGCACTCCACAACAACGCTCTCCAGGGTGGAAAATAACAGTCACAAATATGCTGAAAACAGGCAGCTGATGTGTCGTATAATACAGTATTAATGATGTTCCTGTTTTATTATGAAGGCTTGTCAAACACTATTGTTTACTTGTTGACATCCATTATGTGCGTTGTCTCTCCTGCCTTTCTCTGACTTCATCTATTGTTTTCTCCTCTGCCTTTGGCTGAACAGCGTGGGGACGGATCAATGAAGTCTTCACACTCTCTTCTGTGCTCGTGTTCCTCTCGCCGACACCCTTCATGCCTCCGACATCTCCTCTCCCATCCTGTCTGTCAGGCTATTATTATTCCAGCCTGTTTTCATTTCTTGTCACCATGGCTACGGCAGGTGTAAAGCAGCAGTTTTAAGTTGATAACACCAATACCAATTTAGTTTTAATTATCAAGAGTCATTTAGGAAGGAGATTACCCCAATGAGTCATTTGGAAGGATCTGCTCTGCGTGACTGTGAAGTGGCCGATGAAATTAAAGGGGATGCAGGCTTAGAAACAGGCAGTCTTTTTCTTTAACCATAGGAAGGGTGTGTTTGCACACTGAAAGAATTTAGTCTTGGCTCTCAACTTCATTGCTGTCACGAGGACTTTTTTTTTCCTGTTAAGGTGAACATCCTTTTTTTAATGTGGGGATAAGTAATATCGGATTTTTCCGTGGGCCTTCAGAGGGCAGTGTTTCCCCAAGTCAAAGATCACACAGAAAACAGGCATATCCTGCTGCACAATGCATAGAAGCGTTCTTAATACATGAATCTCTCCAGAGTTTAACATGTTGCAATTAAAAGTGTGACACTTTTTTTTTTTCTGGTTCTATCTTTGATAGTTTTTCCCACCCCGGAGGTGTTTCTGGCATCCTGCTTGTTGAATCGCTTCCAGCTGGATTAATGTGTCACTCTTCCCAGCCCATCTCTCTCTCTTCTTTGTCTCTTGTGGGAGCTGCAGTGCAGTGCGTCTTAGTTTGTTTCATGTTCCGTGTGTAAGGGCCATGTTTCATAATGAAGCCTAGTGAGAGGCAGAGGGGTCCACAGATCTTCAAAGTTTCTCTGTGGCCCTGGTAATACCGTGGAAACAAGGATTCCGACTCATTAGTGTAAAACCTCACTTCACTGGGCTCCTGTACAGGCCACCCGTTGGATTTTGAGCTCGGCTTTAAGCGAGATGCTTTTGATTTTTGTCCCATAAAGAAGCCATAATGCTCAACATGTTTGCCAAGAGTGGTTTTATTAGACGTGTAAAACCAAAGAAGAGGAGCGTAAAGCCAACAGCAGAACAGTCTGCTTGATTAACACCTACTTCATTAACATGTTTTATTTCCACCAGGACATCATATTTCAGAGCAGCAAGGCGTTACGTGGTGTTGTTTAGGCTGTCACAACAAACAGAAAGCAGCTGGGTGCTTTTCACGCCTGCTCCGTCTGTTATCTGAGAAACCTCTGACAGCACAACGCCACTAAAGCCATTACTCCCCACTCTGAACTGATTTATGGGCACATTCAAAGGAAATTAGTGTGATTAATTAGAAAGGATGTTTTGGATTGTATGCCTCCCACACAAACCTGATTTGTTCGTATTGTGCCGTTTTTTTGTTTTTTTTTAGCTGCACTTTGCTGAATGATTTCATTTGGGTGCCTTACAATGTAATTATGTGTGAGCTGCTTTGATTATATCTCTCGAAGCTTTGAGAAAGCCAGCGAGACATCCTAACGGAGGGGAACATTTCAGGAAACGTGGCACAGGGAGGCGTAATTTTATCTCTTGAACGTTTCCTGTCGGACCGAGCAAAAGGACCCAAAAGTTCAGCTTAGAATCTCAGTGAAAAGCTTTGAAGCTTCATCCAAAGTGTGTTTGTGTGGTGCCTTATCTGATGTTTATTTCATGTGTGGTGTCTTTTGGCCATAGGTTGTTCATAATAGGCCGCCCGTACAAAGGACTTTAACATGTCCAGTGGGAGTTTCTTCTTGAAGCCTGTGTTCATTCAGCACCTACATACTTTAGCCGCAGTGTGTTTTATATTTGTGACTTTGCAATCCACCCATGTCTGGCAGGTTTGGGATGGAGCAGAGAGTGGACGATGCCTCAGGGTTTACACCTGCCACTCGGGAGCCGTGCGTGATGCCTGTTGGACCCCCTGCGGGCGGCAGCTCCTCACCGGCTCATTTGACAACACGGCTGTGATCACCGACGTGGAGACGGGTAAGTAACATCACTCCTCTCTCCGGTTCTGAAGAGCTAAATGTCACTGGACATGTGTGCAGAATATGTTTTCATGCCAAGCTCTGACTTAACCAGATATGTGGAAATATACTCAGAGCAGGCCTTGAAGCCAGGTCATTCAGTCCTAACTCAAAATGTGCACTCAACTGATAAGTATATTTGTTAGTATGGTTACATTTTCATAGGAATTTTACAGATATAATACACTGCTTTTGCATTTTCATTCCATTTCAGCCTTGCTGTCTCTCACCAGAATTTTTTTCACGCCTCTGTCCCAGAGTTCTTGCACCTTCTGTTTAGATATTTTTTCTCACAGCTTCCTCTCTGCTTACTTTATTTAAGCCAAAAACACACACAACACAGTGAAAATTCTGTTTTGGTTGCGAGACTAAAGGCCACCAAAATCACCTAAAACACCAAGGCGACTGGAGGCCAAACCTCAAATGTAGCTGTTGAAACTAAACTAAACTGACATATTCTGTTGTTGTTTTTTTATACCAGGTCTTTTAGAATCTGTTCTTTCATCAAGCAGACTAAAATGTGTAGAGATGGGTCTTTTGAACAGTCTGTTTTGCTTCCAATATTAGATTCTGTTCATTCATTTGTCTAATGCTCAGAGTGGAGAAGATATATTGAGTGCTAGCCCATTAGAGCAGTGCTCAATATATCTCCTGTGATCAAGACTGCTTGATTTAGGAATAATAAAGATGAAAAAACAAAACAGTGGCATAGCGATCATCTAGAGATGTTAAAGTATCTGAGACTGGCTGTTTATTGCTCTTCTTTGCTTTTTTCAAGCACGACCCATAAAAACTTAGTGCCTGTTGGGACTTCCTCCAGAGCCGGCTTGTGTTTCAGCCATGACTTCATTCCGTACAGCCTCTCCTGTGTTCTCCGTTTTTGCAGAGCAGTTAACATATTTTTTGGCGTATCGTTTTGCTCCACCTCTGTGTGTGGGCTCCAGATCCCTGCATAACATCAAAAGTAAAGCAAGTTTAACAAGAAGTGAAAAAGGGCCCCTTCACCCCAGTCCACCCAATGTCAAGATTTCCACGGCAGAATCACGTCTGTTCTAAATGAATTGCTGCCCAACGGCTTGAAGGTTGTGGCTGTTCCACGCTTTGGATTTTTATAAAAGTTTTTATTATGTGGCACTCCACAGATAATGACTACCCATGTGCACGTTTGTGTGTGGGAGTACGTTTCTCTCTTCATAGCTAAATATGCAGCCCCACTGTGTTTGCTGTATGATAATGGAACCAATTTCAAGGTGACATTCACAAAGGACTGATCATGTGGTTTGCTGTCCAATCTTACATTAACCGGGCACGGTACAAAAGATTTGAACCACTTATTCATTCTGTCACAGTTGGACTAGTCCTTGAAAAGCCTAAAGCATCTGACGAATTTCTGCATTGCCGACAGTCTGAATGGTTTCAGAAATGTTATCAGTTTTGCTGTCCCCACTGTCAACCCCCTGATATTGTTTATATTAACTGGAGCTCAGCACCGAGCACAGCAGAATGACCCAAAGTGTGAGAAAGAAAGGGGGGGGGAAATGAGCGCCCCATGGTATCTACATCTCTTGGGTTAGCACATGACAGCGATGACTTGCTGCTCTTTCCACTTCCCCTCTCAGCACGCGTGTCAATAGTGTCAATAAAGCCTACGGATAATAGCTTGGCCAGCCCATTAAACACACAGGCAGTTACAGGAAGGGGAATCAATAATAGATACATCACCACAGGAGCAGCCACCATGACCTTATACTGGAACATTACTAATCACAACCATAAACAAACAAATACCTATTTGATCTCCAAAGACTTTCTTGTCATTGTCAGAGAGATTGAAACCAACAGCCTAAGCACTCATTAATCCTGCAAGAGACATTCTGTTTTTTGTTTTTTTAGAAATGGATTTCATTAGACTTAGTCCTCCTGCTACTGTTAATTTTTATTTGAAATTGAATAAACCTTATTATTTCTCAGAATAAGGGAGCTGCCTGTGTGTGCTGGCAGGAGAGGGCAATAAGACTGTGTTCCTATGGCAGCCTAAGATGAAGAAATTCAATTTAGCTGCATATTAATGTGGGAGTTGGGAAACCAGCCCAGTTCCTGGACGACCGCCGCGCACTTTAATGTGGTGCAGCTGAGATGAAGTCTCTGACACTTTAACCCAATCACAGTCAAGCCGTGGAAATAACATGGGGGACATTTATAATTTCCCTTGTAATTATTTAAATACAGGCAGCCATAATGTGTGGTTTTATTCCACAGAACACTAATAAGGAACTGCGATTTTAGAGGATCTTCATCTTTGACACGTGTGACAACCACAATGGCTTTACATCAGTGGTTTACCATGATCATGGCATTCCTCTTTTATACATTTTTAAAGCTCCCATTCCTCAACTGTGCAGCACTCAATCAGATGGCAGGATAACTGAGGGAGCTAAATGTTTTCCATGTCAGACTGTGATGAGGGGGAAAGTGATTGTTGCGCTCTTCACAGTAACGCAGAGCCTCTCAACTAGAAGTCGGAAGGCAGCTGGAACTCTTGTGTTCACTTGAGATCGCTTTGCAGCTGAATGGAGGCTCTTTAATGATCAGGACAATCCAGCCCTTATTGGACAGTAACAAACCTAAAGACAAAAGACACAAAAGTAATGTTGACAGATTAATTTTGCATGTTCCCTGTTATTTGTAGAAAATGGTAGGCATTAGGGCACAGCATAGTTGTCACAAGGAGGATTTGGGGAATGAGAACCGGATAACAGGCAGAATGTATTAGGAGAGCGGAAAACAAGTGGAAAAACTATAAGTAAGTTTAGGAGTAATGTTTAAATGCTTAAACACTTAGTGGATTTAGATTGTGCCCAAGACCAGCAAACGTCTTATTTTATAGAGCAGCTCACAGTCACTGTTAATTCAGTTATATTTGATTGGAAGAACTGCTTTTTTTCCCCTCTTAGTTCCTTTCAAACTAGGAAGTGGGAGTTGAATCCTCTGCGTCTTTATTGTGGTTTAGTTTTTACTGATGGTATTTTCTCTTGTATTCTGATTCATAAATCTTTCCAATTCAAAGAGTGTGGGCTAGAGAGAAATGTTGACATTCTACTGAGATTTTTATAACATTATTTTATTTTTTACTTCCTCAGAAACGTATTTATCTGCTCTAAGAATGACTCTTGGAGGCGTGACTGTGTTAAAAGAGCGGATCTTGAGGACATGAAGGAAAATGAAGATTTCAAACTTGACTTGATCTTTTTTTGCCTGTTTAAAAAAAAAAAGAAAAAGCTTGGTCAGCCTTTTTGTGTGCTTTCTGTGTGCTTTCACTCTATCACACCAAGAGATGGTGCGATAGAGTGGCTTGGCTCAGGTTCATAACCCCACTATTGAACTTGGCTCACTAGGCTATTGAAGCAGTGTGATCAAAATAGAGGGGGAAAAAAAAGTCAAAGTGGGAATTTAATAGCAGACATCCATCCACTTTGTGTTTCTATACTTTCTCACTGCATGTATCATCGCAGCCATGACCTAATACACATTAACTGTCATGTGACGGCAGTTTAAAGGGTTAAATGGACAGCGTTAGATTTCTCCCCCTTTAAATACATCAGGACTGAAGACGTGCTTGAAGTCAAATATCTTTAAAATGGAGCTTTTTCAGTCTACTCCCAAAACATTATCTGGATGTGGCTCATCAAAACCAAGTGTGTGTATTTTCCAGTGCCCTGACAGCCTGCTGCGTTGGTGAATCGTGTAATGAAGCACAGTGTTTCATCTCTCCTCCACGGGGCTCACCCCTGCTACCCCGATCCTCCCCTCTGCAGTTATCAGCTTTTTGCTGTCTTGTTGGCATGATCACAGTTCCTTCAAGACTACAGAGTAAAACTACCATGAGGGAGGGACGGAAGCCTGCAGTCCTCCGTTATCTACCCTCTCAAGCTGGCTAATTAATCTCCCTTAATTAAAACCCGAATGGGCCCTGTTTGTTATGAGTTGTATGTTGACTTCTCATTGTCTTGCCAAACATGAGTTTTAAATCTCTGTGACAGATCTTTGCCGTGGCTAAGCCAATTAAGTGAAAAACTGGGGATAAGATCAGGGCTGTCAGATTTTAAGAGCAAACCCGGTACGCCATTAAGTGGAAGAAGGTCTACTTTGTTCATAGTTTCATTGGCTGAGGCTCACCTACCTACACTAAAAGGTCTTGGTTGGAAAACCCTATATATGTGTAACGAAGTGTGTTTTTGGCTCAGGCTAGCTGATTGAAATAGTTTTTAGATTGTTTAGGGTTTTGTTGCTTGTACAGTAACTTAATGACAAACCCCTGGGATCTGAGGGCTTTGACTGTGCACAGTTTTTGATTCGCTTGCTCGTGTTTTTTCTGAAAAATCCTTTTTGGTCACACCCTGTCAGGGTTAATTGTATTTAAGCCCCTCGGTTTTCTTGTTTTATATTTATGCGTGACATTTTTTAATTGATTTAGATAAAGTAGCCTCCAGCTAAAACAGCTGCTCTAGTTTTCCTCTCAGAATACCAGCATCTCATTTCAACTTTTAGTTTTTGAGTGATGTTTCTCTTGAACATTCACAGCATCTTTTATCAGGGAGCTTGTTTTTTAATTGTCCTATTTATCAAAGAAGTTGAAGGCACTGTTTAATTATAGACGGTTTTTAACTGCCGAGAAGTCTTCTTGGACAAGGAAGATTCATAAATGAAATTGAGGTTTGAGCTTATACTGCAAGACAGGTCATGTAGTTTTAATTTATGTTTTTCTTACTTCAGCCTTGATAAAGCAGCCAGAAAAGATATCTTATCAAACTTTTCATCCAGCACAAATTGCAACTACGGTATTCTTACTCGCTTTGCTCATTTAAAAGACAGGAAACCCAACTGGTGCTTTGGGCCAAAGTACAATTTTTCCATCACTTTCTGTATATTTCGAATATTAAGAAACATAAATGGCCCCGATAAATTATAGTTGGCATATGGGAGCACACAGTGACCTAAACATCGCAAAGCAAATGTATCGCATGCTCGCAGAAATATTTCAGAATGTTTCATATTTGTTTGATCTTGGCTTTTATGTGGCAACATAAAAAGCAACTTAACAGTTGAACCTCTTGGACAGCTTCCAGAATTTGAAACGGCTATAAAGGCCATTTCCCTGTGGGGACTGACAAAACTAAAAACACCTGAGGCGTTATGTCTCATTAAAAAAAAAAGAATGGCCAAACTAAAGCAGCCAAAGTCCAAAGCCAAAGTCCTAAACTACAAATTGCCTGACCACAGGAGATCACAAAAGTACTGTTTGGTGTAACAAATAAAACATAAATTCCTCGCTCTTGTGAAGATCAGACATGCCACTCTCTGTCATTTTCACTCAAAGTCTTTCTTTGGGATGAATGTAGACATTTTTGTCCTCCCAATTAAAAACAATTAATGCTATCACATGTTAGGACTGCAAATATGCTAAACGAATGTAAGCTGATTTCATTTTTTGCTCTGCCTCCTGTTGTCTATAGGGCAGCCGACGGTGAAATTGGACAATCAGTTCAAGGTGATGTGTGTGGTCCCGCACCCCAGCAGCCCGGAGGTGTTCCTGTGTGGAGGTTACAGCTCAGTGGTCAAAGCCTGGGACTCTCGCAGCTGCAAGGTTGAACTTTTTATCCCCCTTACAGCAGATAAGTCATTTATCATTGGCTGTTTACATACTGTGGACGTGTACACTTTAAACATATGCTCTCTGCTCAGGACAGCCACACAGTCCCACTAGGTTGCACAACATAGCATAGCATGTAATAGCATGTAATCATGCTGTTAGACTTAATGGAGCGTTTTACAGATGAATTCTGTTCATGTCCTCTATATTTCGAATGGTTCATGTAATTTCTCCTTTCAACAAACGTAGCTTTTTTTGGGGTTATGGATTTGTGACAGCGGGAAGGTTTCTCTGCTCCTGATGACTGTCCGAGGCTTAGACTGTCTTAGACTGCCACAAGCAAGCTCAACCTTTCCCCCATTAGTCAGGTCAAATGGACTCAGGAAGCTGAATAACAACCATAAAGTGGATCTGCAGTGTAAAAGATGAGTGACTGGGAACCAAAGATGAAGCTCATAGAGAAGGATAGCAAAGGATAGTGAAATGCAGAGGGTCAGAGGTGAATCTGAGGCAAACAATTTTGTTCTTACATAACAAATACACCCACTGCAACTCTTCCACTTTTATGATTAATGTTACGTATTTGTTTTTAATATTTTTTTCAAAAGAATTTTTAGCAAAGCAAGATCCGATTGATCCGGACTGATTTTTGTAAAAAACTTGGTGGTGCTGAATGGCACTCATTTGCTTAATTATTTTTTTGCTTTGGCATTTTAGAAAGGATAACTCAACATTTGAATGTGTGTGCATATCTGTGTCTTCGTGTGTTTGTAGGTGGTGAAAATGTACAAAGCCTGCATCCAGCAGACTTTGGACATCCTCTTTCTGAGAGGTGGGCGGGATTTCATAACGAGCTCAGACTGTGTTAGCAGAGACTCTGCAGACCGTACCCTCATAGCCTGGGACTACCAGACCACCGCCAAGCTCTCCAACCAGATCTACCAAGTAAGACATCAGTGTGCCCAAAAAAACTAAAGTGAATAGCACATGGCCCTGTCCGGGCTATGGAATTAGATGATCATCTGATATGAAACAAAGTGGTAATGGAGCTTATGAAATTGGCATATTTTGAGAGTTACATAATGCTGGAATACATCTGTACACTATAGAGGGCCCGATTTTTAAATAATGTGTTTTTAATAGCCTTGTGTTTTTTCCAGAATTGTTATAAATCCTTCCTCATACTGCAATTCACCTGTTGAAGCCGATCGAATTCCTCAAGCTCTGCAGAATGTGCTGAAAAGTCAAATAATAATCGACTTCCACTGTAATTTTTCAATTCTGCTCCCTACACAAACAGGAACGGTACACATGCCCTAGCCTGGCTCTCCACCCACAAGAGGAGACCTTTGTGGCTCAGACCAACGGCAATTACATTGCAGTGTTCTCCTCCCAAACGCCCTATAGAATGAACAAGAGGCGACGATTCGAAGGACACAAGGTCAGCACCAGTTGTGGCCTCGGGGAAGGGGCAGAATAGCAGGCCTGATCTATACAGAGCACCACTACATTATACAAACACAAGTTGATCAACAGCCCCAAAAACTCTGCATGGGCAATTGAACAAACCTGTATTCACAGATGGTACGTCATTGTAACATGCCCACTGTAAAACTGCTGAGAGCAAATCCACAGGAAACTGTTCTTACTTCCTTTCCCAGGTCCAGATTTTCCCCATGTTTGTTTAAAACATGACAGTAGAAATTAACGCACAGACTAGAAAAACAACGGCATCTAAACAGTCTTATATCAGAAATGTAGCAGCTATCGGTGTGGTCATGAAAGCACCAGTACAATCTTTTATTAGCCTTTTCTGGTCCTAATAAGTTCATTTAAACTGCAACTCATCAACATACAGCACATCTACACATGGTAAGAGCTGTGGCCTAATTTTTCTACTTATTTACATAGTTTCCTATTCTGCCCTCCTGTAATAATTATTTCACTTTAAACCATCTAATGAAAATGTGTCTGATTCACTATCCGCTCTGCAATATCTATTGACTTCCTTCAGATTAGCTTTGTAGGTGAATGAATGCTTAGCTTGTGATGAAGGCCTTACATGCTCAGCAGTAACTCCAGTGAGATCTGGACTTCTTTGTGAAGCGGTGAAAACCTTATAGATAGATAGCTGTTAGTGCACCCCTCGACCAATCTTTGCTTTGTGGGTTTGTGGCCAAACAGAATGTGGTTTTTACTAAAAGGCCTGTCACCGCCTAATGGGACTTTTCCCCAAGGCACCTGAATTCTTTCTGGAGTAGCAAAATTATCTGATCCGAGCAAAACAAGATTGAACTATATGTCAGGTCATTACAAAGGAAAGAAAGCATTTAAAATAATCTCTTTTACATCATCCCATCTGGCAAACAAGGTGATGGCAGCATAATGCTGAGTGGATTTTTTCCTTTGACAGGGACAGGGAGTCTTAGGGGGATGACTGAATGATAAATGGAGAAAAATGCAGAAAAAGTGCAGAGGGTGCTGCAGTTCACTGTGAGGCAGAGAGCTTTTATGGTCCTTCTGATCCACAAGCCACTGAGCAGTGGAAGATATGTGCGACTGCAAAGGGTTTCTTTCAAATTTCAAAAGTTTTCTGGATTAAGCACCCCGAATTTGATTAAGCAGGTGTGGAAAATGGACAAATGGATATTCTCTCTTCCATCTTGAAAGTTCTCGGCTTAGACATAAAAGGACCGGAGAACCTGCTAACCAACCAGAAATTGACAAGGAGCTGCAACAGTGCGGGTTTAAGCCATGCTGCTCTGTCACTTTCCTCTCAGTTGTAACTTTTCAGAGGGGTTTCGGTGTTGGATCTACACTTCAGGATGTAAGGGTGAGATGAATTTAACTATGCCGGCAGCTCATATATATTCTTTCTGCTTAAGGTGGAAGGATATGCTATACAGTGTGACTTGTCTCTTGATGGAAGTATCCTGGCCTCGGGGAGCTCCACTGGCTCTGCTCACTTCTACGACTACCACAATGCACGCATGCTGCACACTCTCCAGGCCCACAGCCAGCCCTGCCTGTGTGTCTCTCAGCATCCCGTCCTGCCAACAACTGTGGCCACCTGCGACTGGGGTGGTGAGATCAAGATCTGGGAGTGACAGTTGATTATGAAAAAGTCAATATAGACTCAAAGAGTGGCAAGTTGGCCCAGAGAGTCGGATGAAAGACTATGTGGACTA